TGGCGTAGTGGATAAGCGCCGCGGCCCGCGATCGTTGTCTTTAAGCAATTTTCGCAAGGGTCGGTCACGGGATGGATGACCAAAAAATTATTATCTCGAGCTACTCCGTGCTTCGGAAGGCATGTTAAGCCGTTGGTCCCGGCTGCATTTGCAGTCGTTAATACCCTCCAATCCGCATTGGGCCAGCATGGAGGGTCATAACCCATCCTTCTTAACCATCCATAAGGAAGGCCTGAGCCCCTGCAGTGGGGACGTAAAAGGGCTAATAATGATGATGAACAAAATTTTAAAGCTGAGCTTTTATGAATGTTGTTAATTAACACAGATTTCATTTTGTCCATGTTATTACTTAATGGTAAACATATTTTTTTAAAACTATCTAAATTTTATCTCACACAATTAAAAAACATTCCTACTTAATATTAAAATAATGTAGTAATGCTAAATTATTAAAATTAAACATAACTTAGTTGTTTAATGATTCATATCGTGTCGTGGCACTTTACATTAAATATGTTCACTAAGTTTATTACAGAGTATTAATAAAAAAGAGAAAGGAATTAATACTTCTTTCTCATGTGACTATTATTTATAAACTGTTTTACACTTCTATGACTGAGGGCTCTGAGGGTTGCTACAAGGCTGATTGAAGGAAACTTTTTGAGTATTTTCACATTTTCAATTCCAAAAAGTTTTCAAAAAGAAAACACAATGAAGCACGGTCTTCTTAAGAATGCTGAATTTGTTTCGATACCGAAATTTAAGATATTTTTATTTTAATAGCAAAAAGCTAAAGCGAGTTTGAACTAAAGTAACGGTCGTTAACTAGTTGTAGCAATAATTACATTATAACAATATATTTTATTATAAAAATTATATTTAACTGTACGAAAATTAATACTCATTGACTAGGTAGGTATTTAAAGGTTTAAATAACATTTTCTGCTATCTCTCATAAAAAAATATTTCTTTAAAAAATACATATACTTCTACACATACGAATGAACCTGGAAGGCCTGTTCTATTTTGCGAAAACGAAATTTCAAGCGCGGTCAAATAGACGTCTCTACATATCTACATATCCACCCCTCGGGCAATCATAACTGATTTCTACCATTAGATTCAGTATTTAGCCCACTTTGAAAGAATCGGTTTAAATCAATTTCTTTGAAAAAAAAAGCCATACATCACACATCACTAAGCCAATTTATCTGGATAACTTTCACGCTCTAATTTACTCTTCCAATTACGAATGTCATTATAACCAGGGCTTGGAAACCGGTAAATTTTTTGAACCGGTTTGACGTAAGTATATGCGAAACTTTACATAAAAGGTTCAGCTCCTTTGAACAGGTTTTTGAACCGGTTCACTAGAAATACTGTTTTCTTCATAAACCGGTTTAAATATGACTCCAAATAATGATCTTACAAACTTCAGCGCGGTTTTTAAGTGCCTTTACTCCTATCTATAACATCCGTACACAGGTATGATAAATGTCGTCGCTTAAAAATCATATAATTCGCATTAAAAGCGTAAGAACATTGCTTTTTACGAACCAAGCAAATTAACCGGTTTTTATTCCATCCGAATTTCACTCCGCATTTAGTTCCGATCCGGAACGGAACATTATAAGAGAACAGGTTTTACCTAAATAAAAACGGTTTATTCTGAACCGGTTTCAAGCCCTGATTATAACCACATTAGTGAGTCCAAGATTATTATTATACACTGCGTCACGGTCCGCTCAACTTATATCAGTTGTTGTTACATATTGTCTGATTGCCACGGAATGTTATTATCAGGCTTATCGGACTTATAAGCTATTACACTTTTGTAATGTCCTCACTACTGAAGTAAGAGTAGATAGAACACATAAAGGGAGAACATGTTATACTTAATATAAACCATCTGGCTAGCCTAATGAAAATTTATGTAGCCAGCTTAAATCGATAATTGTAGCATAAAACTGCAATATAAATAAATAAAATTAGTTTGCGGTCAGCAATCTTGTTAGTTATTGATATAAGTTTATTTCATTTTTTATATTAAAGGCTTTTTTGTGCATTCACTTATCTGTGCATTTCATTGTGTTATTGAAAATTGGTACCCTTGGGGCGTTACAGTTTATATTTGGACTGACTGAGCATCGAACAACGAGTCACATAAAACTTTATGAAAACCGATATTTCAACCTTCTTTTTTTGTCTAGCCCCATTCATATTTATTAATTATAATATTGTCATTTTTATAAGCTTTGCTATTTAATATTGCGGAGATAATTCACTGTAAACGACTTTTGTAGTCTCAAGTGAACTTTAAATTTTCTGCGACAATTTTATTGAGCGTGAATGTTATTATAAATTATTATGTAACGCTATTAAAGTTTCGTTGCTTTACATAAGTAAGTTATCGCCTATGAATAAGGAAAGTAAATTAACGTAGTTCAATATTAATTTAATCTGGGTACAAAGGAGCTTATTCAGCTCCGAAACTGAACCAATTTTATAAATTCTTTCACGGGTAACATACTTGTTTATACTGATATTATAAAGAGGAGAGATTCAATTGTTTGTTTGTATGCAACGAAACTACTGGATGGATTTTTAAAATTCTTTCACCTACGGAAAGCTACATTATATGCGGTGAATATATATATTTTATCCCGAAAAACATCAAATGAAAGAGTTTGTATGGGGAATTAAAAACATTGCCAAAGAAACCATTGTTTACTATTAAATTTGTCATTATAATCCAAATATACAATACCCCAGGGATCACGCTGGCGAAGCCGTTGGCGTAAAGTTAGTAGGCTGTAATTGGCTACAACGCACACGGGTGAAACTTAAAGTAGACTTAATTAGATTGCATAACAATTGGCGGCCTTATCGCTTCAAGCGATTTCTTCCAGGCAACATGTGCAGTAATTGTATATTTGTGAAAGATTTCTAAAATTTCTCCAATGATATGCTTTCGGGTTGAATTTTTCAAAATCCTTTCTTAGTGAACCTCTACGTCATATTAATGTGAAAATAACATCTCGATCTAGCTGGACTGGTCATTCATACTATTGTGTTGTAGAACAGCCATTAACTCGAAGTCAAGCTCAACGCTGGCTAAAAGGTAATTAAGTATCTATTTCATTGAAGCTTTATACTGTTAAAGCGCTACGATCGACATCGAGTTTGAAGCAGTATTTTTTAAAAATAGCATATCAGTTGTTTAAGCTATGTGTAGATAGTTTCTTTTTAGGGTTCCGTTGTAAACAAGGAACCAGGTCCGTCTGTCCATCCGTCCGCGGTTTAGCTCAAAAACTATTGGTACTAAAGCTGTAATTTGGCATAACTATACACGGTAACTACGCCGACACAGAGGTAAAGTAAAATTTTGAATAAAAAAAGTATTTTTAGGGTACCTCCCCTACATGTAAAGTGGGGAAGATATTTGTTTTTCGTCTTACCCATAGTGTGGAACATCGTGGGATAGATCTTTCTAAAACAAGAGGTTGCAAGTAGGCCGTTTTTCGATTTTGTTAACCCGTTAGTGAATTATTAAGCTTTAAAGAGCTAATTTTCGTTAGAGTCAAGTATCCCTCCCTCTACCAGCTAAACGGTCGGTGGTAAACATTCAAACGTTATGGCACTAGTACTATATATAACGAAGTTAAAAGGAAAACTATAACAACCTAAGTTGGTTGTACAAGTTTACGAATAATAGTCGACCAAATGTAATTAACGTTATTTTGTATATATAATGATAAAGAAATAAAATATTACACCTCTTTATAATATATAAGCTGACTTTTCGTGACCTTGCCCGCGTTAATATAACTTATGTCACCCCCTTATTATGTAGCATCCCTTAGGTGAAAGAATTTTCTTGATCAGATCGGTAACTTTACCTCTTTAATAATGAAGAAAACCTCAACACATACTAATACTTTTCCTCAATATTATTAAAAGAAATGCTTTCGTTGGACACATAATTTATCACCTAATAAATGACCAAGAAAGTGTGTAAATTTGCACAGTAACTGATTCATAAGACGATGTATATCCAACTATTTAACTGTGGTCAATAAAAATCAATACATGAAGTAAAATTGTTTATTCTGTTTATTCTTATGAAGTGAGCTTAGACTTTCACGTCATAAATACAATTAAATTCTCGTCTCGGCATATACGTGAGGTGAGACGCTTTAAGAATGCCAGCACCAAGTTTTTCCACAATATGACGAAAGCAACTTTCGAATTACCTATACGTTGGCGAATTTCAATGTCCTTTCGCTGAATGCTCAGGCGCACGGTGGAGGTGATGATTTCATAACACCTCGTATAATACGACCTCCGTGGCCGGTCCACTCGCGGTTACAAGCCATCTCTGTTAGCCTATAATCGATTCCGCAGAGCGATTCCGTAAAAATCCGTATTCAGGTGCCAAAATTCACTTCGAAAACGAATCCGCTTAACTTATATTACTGTACGAATTCTATCGCTTCAATTTTTGTATATAAATATGTTGTCCGATTCCATAGAATTTTCATGAACAATTAACCAGTACCGCCTTTAAGTATTATAAGTAAAATCCATTTTAATATCAACTTTGGGTTCTTCACTTCTATCAATTACCTACAGGGGGCCAATTCTACTAAATAAATTTTGTTTAAATCGAATCGAAAACGGATTAAATAGATCTGGAATTGTATCGTATGTCACTTTGTAGAATAGGAAAACCATTAAAAACTGCAGTTTCGTTCGGTTTCGACCAGTTTTCGATTCGATTTAAACAAAATTTATTTAGTAGAATTGGCCCCCTGATTTCAGTCAAAAACTTTTTTACTCATCAATATCAGTCCGTATATCTCGTATATCGTTGAGTTATCTATTTATAAAATGATATTCTTTAATAAATCTCGTCTATATAATAGATTGCGATTTATTAATTTACGTGCCTTCATACGATGTCATCTCGTGTGGAGAAAATGATTATACAATAAATAGTGATGGTAAGATATATTTCTCTTGCGATCGCGTTATATGTGCGACACGCAATTAATAAGTTTTTCTATAGGTGACCAAACATAACTGCATATGTTCTCGGGGTAGTTAAAATCAAAATATTCTTTATTATATTTATAATAGTTTATTGGATTCACTTTCAAATGGTCAAAAACTAAGAACATTCTCAAGAAAACATTCAGAAACAACCCTAACGTAATTATTGACGTTCGTCTGTTTAAGTCACGCCTCTTAATTAATGGTTTACCAATAACATCATTTACTAAAAATTGGATACAATATATTTATGTATTTGTCTGCTAACCTTTTTCTAACTAATCTACTATATAACCAACAAACAAACTAATTAAGAAATAAAACGGTAGATTTTTTTAAATCAATTTACTTATACTTCAAAGCAAAGGAATATCTATCAATAGATCACATGATATATTTATTGATTTGCTGAAAAATGCGACAAATATTGTGATCCATCGGTTCCGGTATCGCATCGTGGCCTAGAACTTGGCAGGTTACGTCATTTATAGCTTAATGGTGAAAGTAAATCCAAGCTGCGGTAACTTATGTTCCCACGATTTTAAGTATACTCGTTAGTGAATCACTACAATGCAACTTTCTTGAGTAAAAATTAAGGGTTCTCTTTATTGTATGTGCGATAACCTTAATAGCTTTGTACAAATTATGATTTTTAAGAATAAGTTTTTTCGTGTGTATGTATTTTCATGAGTGTAATATATATTAAAGAACTGGATATATTATTTAATTAAAGAAATAAAATACATGTCTATACCTTGCTTGTTTATATAATACTAACTGCGGAGATCCTTTCAAACACTCATTAAGGAAATGCATTAGCAATAGGCACGGGCGAACTTAAATATATTAATTACACGAATAATGAGTGATCATTGCATTTGTATTTGATTTTAATAATCTTCGTAAAATAATTAATTAAGCGGGTAAACACACAAATTATTTTTATATATTTAAACTTTCGATTAAGATGAAAGTTTGTTCTAAGTATTATATTTGAGTTATCAGTATTATAGCATTGTGAATGCAAAATTAATCAAATATAGTATAAGTATACTACACTGCATTTCTCTATTCCAGCCAAAACGTTCATTTACAAAATAGTAGGTACTAAAGACATTAAATTGTCCCTAAAATTTACCATTTTTCTTTTCTTTTTGTAAGTAACTTTTTAAAAGGAAAATTAACAAATATGTGTGTCATTTTGGGGCCGAAAGAACTATGCAGCAACTTATACAATAATCGTGATAGTTTGAGAGTAAATTATAAACCTTTTTGCCGCTTAATACACCATATTTTTTCATTGCGAAATGAAATAGATAGAATTATCTTGTGGTTTTACTTGCCCTCTTAAGTTACCGTTTTGCGAATCTGTGGTAAAATCACTCTGGTAACGAAACATGCGGCTGCGCAGGAATGCACTTTCGTGGTAGTGATGCGTCACGGAGATGAGACTACATGGTTGTCAAAAATATTTAACAGACTTCAAAAAAAAATTGGAATTTATTTCAAACCAATAAAATAATAATACTAGCGACAATTTCGTGGTAGGTACATACATTAAGTAAAAATTAAGTTACCAATTCGACTGAAGTTATTTGGTATGTCCGTTCCACGATATTATTTATCAATTTTATTTTGTTGCTTGAAAGAGTCCTATTAAAATGTTATCACAAGAGATTGGTAGGTTTCTGTAAATTTGCAACGCTGTTTACATTTCATTCCTCACTAAAAATACTAAAACAAAATTTATTTTCAAAATCGAAAAAAAAACATTTCGAAAAATTCAAAAATGTTTCTTAATAATAAAAGTAAAATGAAGTTTCTTCAATTTGTTTTTAAGCCTGTAAGGCGTCTTTTAAGTTATTAAGAACAGTTTTTCGACTCTATATTAAGATAATAAATTATATCTTTATTAGAATAAAATATAACATACAAAAGTGACAAAAGTTATATAAATGTCAGATTAAAAATAGTAAAGCAATTAAATTTAACCGTTAAACTAGGTAAGGCTTTTCACAGCCCTACTCGTGCGGAAAGTAACTAATCGGTTCCACATGGTCTGTAGCGTATTGGTTTATTATGTTAATACTCGATTAGTAAATTACACCCGCGACCTAAATAAATTTTATTGCTGGCTTCTTCAATAGATTTTTTAACTAATCATTCATTTTACCAACTCTTATGTCAACCGTTTTTATCATCATATCGTAAGAGATAGAAAATAAGTATATTATTTTTTATTTATAACAACAACATTTACATCGATCATTACTTATAGCTAATGCGATCTAGTAAAGCTTAACATATTTTTCTTATCTCAATTGAAGACCTTACTTTTATATATAAAATATTGTTCTTAATTAATTTTATACGTACAAAAAAATATTGCAGCTTTTTTAAACTCACTCAGAGCACTACCAAATATGTCAATTTCATTAGGTATCATATTAATGACAGATATAGCGCGCGTGAACGGTGCCTCCCTAAACAAGTAATAAAGCCTGCTAATTAACTAAATTAGTTAACCACAGTAATAAAGCGAGCTAAAAATATTTCGAAAAGTAAATTAGCACACATATTTCAAAATAGACAGAGGGTTCTAAATTTTATATGTTCATCAAGTACTTCGCGAATTGAAAACCGTTTTTCAAAATTATTAGAAAGCTTATGGACATGAGATGGCTTCATAAATTTTTTATCGAAATGGATCAGCAGTTTTGTTTTTATAACAAAATAACTGTAAGCATTTTGTCAGAATCTAATATCAAAAATACCTAGGCGACATACTTATATCATCTAAAAAAACAATATTTTGTTCTTCATCTATGAAAACGCGTATTTTGCTTTCCAATGTATTTTTGTTAACATAAAGCTTTTGCAATAATTTAAATCGTATTGAAAACAGTGAATTGTTACATCACAAAGGTTTTTTTTGCAAACGCCGCATCAACAATGTGCTGTGTCACTTTTTAACTAAATATAAATAGCTTTTATATTATTTTATCTATACTGAATGATTTTCAGTTCACCAATTTCAATTTAGTTCTCAAGTAAATTTGTGTAACACAGTCTGGTTGTATACAAAATGTAATAGGTACTTGTAGATTATTTTACGCACGTAAAATTTTAAATTAATATAAATGGCCTGACTTAAAGGTAATGAAATTTTAGATTTTATTATCAAGTGAAAATTTAATTTAATATTGTTGTGGAACAAGTCTTAACAAAGCATGTTACGTACAAATATAACAAGACTACAGAATAAAGTACAAAAGAGTCGATATTTAAACTACAAATTTGAACTTCATAGTAAAAAACTATTTTATAATTCGTAGTAATATCGTTTACTATTTAATTATCAGCAACATTTTCATTAGAAATGGTCTAATAAGAATTATTTTCATTTTCAGATAGAAAATGACTTCGATAGAAGAAGACAAGTGCCGTTAGGACATCCCGGATTCAATGAGCATCAGACGAGATTCGGCCTGAATTCCCCGCTACAAAACTTCCAACAAAGCGGAACTCTCATCAGTAGCCCCGCACCGCCGACGCTCCAATTCCAACAACCCATTTTCCAACAGCCCCAACAACAACAGTTCGTCCCCCAATCGTCTCCACCAGTATTCAACAACATACTTTCCAGCCAAAGTATTCCCAATAACATCGCCTTACAGAACAACCTTCCGCTACCGAGCAACAATTTCCAATTCACCCAAGCGCCAAGCGTGAACCAACCGGTCCTGCAAAACAATTTCCAACAACCCCTCAGACCAATTCAGAACCAAAATATATTGCCCCAGCCAGCACCTACACTACCGACATTCCAAAATAATCCGCTTCCTCAAAATCCTCCTACTTTCAATCAGAATCCAAGTGTTCCTGGGAACACAGTGAACATCGGCAACCAAAGACTTAATCAACCAGCTTTCTTACCTACTGTACCTACGACACAAAATCAACCGATATTCAGTCACCCTAATCCAATAACCATCCAACCAGCCCCAAATCTAGCACCACTCAATGTCAACTTGAATAATGCACAATTACCCTTCCAATCAAATCTGGGTCAGGCCCCATTATTTTCGAATAGTCAAAACGCCAATATTCAAGACTTTTTCGAACAACAATCTAAAGAAAATTTGGAAAAGCTAAAAGAACTTCAAGAACGTCAGAGGATCATACAGAAGCATCAAGAATTTGTTCAGAAACAACAGCAAAAGCAACAAGAAAAGGTTGATAAATTGCATGAAGAATTCTTGAACAAGCAAGCTACAAAAAGCGTACCGACTTTAGCAACTACTGAAGCGTATGATGACTATTACCACAGAAACCAAGAAAAGCGCAGGCCACTTTTACCGCATGAGACGGATTTATTTAGGAAAGCTGTTGAAATGTACGAGAAACAACATCCTACTACAAGCACTACAACGACCACCACAACTACCACAACAACACCCGCGCCTCGCTATAAGCCCAGATCTAAACCTAAACCAAGAAATCCACCTCAAGATAGAAACAAGCAAAAACTTTATAATGAAATCAAAAGTCTGCTTCAAGAAAGCGAAACGAAAGGTTTTGACGATAATTTAAGGGCTAAGAGTGTTGCTTTACTCCAAAAACCTGATATTTTAAAACAACTGAAAGTAGCTCTAGCAGAAAATCCTGAAGATTTCAATGAAAAAAATTTTACTTCTCGAGAGATTTCCTTAAATGGTCAGAAATTCGAAGTCATAAGAACAACTAATCCTAATTTGATACCAAAAGGCGCTATCGTTGCTGAAGAGTCTAGTTTGTCACAGTTAGCAGCGAGTTCACAAGAACCTCAAAAGGAGAATCGTATTTCTATTGAAGACTTAACTAAAGGCGTATTACCACCGGGAGCCAATTTTGAACTTATTAAACAATCCGACAGCGGTAAACTTGAAGAAGTATCAAAAGCAACTATTCAAAATAAAAAGAAAGTAACTTTTGTTTTCTTGGAAGAACAAGATGACGGCTCGTTCAAAGTAAAGGGTGTGAAAGCAAACGGTCAGCAAACAGAAGAAGGTCCTGAAGTGGAAAATATCTTAAATAAAATAAAAAAGGGTGAAATACAGTTGCCTGGACCAACGAAAATATCAAATTCAATATTTAGTTCTACAACGGCAAGTCCATCGACTGAGAGTACGGACTATGTAGCAGAACCTTCACACCATCCGTCTAGTTACTCCAGTTTTGTCACAACTTCTAGTAATGGAGCCGTAGGTCACACTAACCCTGTTATTCATACGACACCATCACCTAACACATACCGTAACTCTATCTTTTCAACGATCGCAACTTCACCTAAAACTCAAACATTTTCTCCGATAACACGAAGCATCACAACGACTGAGAGATATATTACTTCTGCGAACCACGATTTCACAAGAATTAGCCCGACCAAAAATTCTTTCCCTAGTTCGACGTTTGCATCAATCTTAAGCACTACACCACCTTCATATCATTCAACGCCGGAAGATTTAGTTGTAATAGGATCGAGTTCACCCGCTTCAAGTGTTGATCAAATGTTTGCTAGGCAATCAAACCCAGGACTAGTGGACATTTTAAAAGAAAATGGTTTATTTGCTACTGCTAAATATCTACGTCAATCTGGCCTAGACAACATATTGAATGAGACTGGCCCTTACACAATCTTTGCACCGACTGATAAAGCATTTAGAACATTACTCGTGCAACTTGGAGGTCCGGACCGAGCTGAAGAGAAGTTCCGGGATAATCCTAGACTACTAAGTGGGGTGAGTTTACATAATTCAAATTACTAAATAATTTTATCTGTGCTTATGTTCGTCCGGAAAATGAGAAATTTGTCTTTTTCAGCTTCTTCTTCACCATGTGATACCAGGTGCATTCGATATAGCTTCATTACAAGATGAAATGACTGGAGTTTCCCTTGCCGGTACCCAGCTTAGAGTAAACCAGTACGATATGCATGACGTCGAATGGAATGAAGTTCGGGTAACTACTATCAATGGAGCAAGAGTAATTGAGGACAAGAAAGATATTCACATACCACAAGTAAGTTGTAATATTTTTCTTTTGCAATTTTCGAAATTACCAACTTTTGTCCAAAAATAAACACACTTAACAGTATGAACTGAAGTGAAATAATTTTATGATAAAAATATTATTAGCTTTTGTAAAATGAAAAACCTATTCAGTAAAGAAAAGTAGATGTAAATACTAAGCTTTCCAAAAAAAATAGTAATTAGGTAGGTAGTTTAGTATTATATCTGTGGTAAAAAAAACGATAGTGTACAGTGTTTTAACCTGTACAGTTGTACAGTCAACAGCACTTTAGATTATATAAATCAGTCAATTTTTTTCCATTTGAATTTCCACCCATATGCTTTGAAGGTAGATTTTAACATCAAAAACTGACATTTGACATATTGTGGTAACCTGAAGTGCAGCCGAGATAAATTAAAAAAATTACGATCTCCGTAGTCAAGTGGCTAGCACACCCGTTTCAAGTTGTGATCTCGGGTTCCATTCCAGCTGGTTTGATCTATAATTCACTTTTCTATAATATCTTGCATCATCAAGTCTCATTTTTCACAAGTCCTAATCTGTATTAGGTAGTAACTGGTTGTCCAGTATTGAGTTATATATTTATATTGTTCTTATACCAATCAAACAATTTTCTTCATTTTTTATCGACAAATAATCTTAACCACTTTGTAATGATCCGGTTAACAGGGTATAGCACATGCCGTAGACAGAGTGATGTTTCCGCTGCCAGTAGGCGATATCGTGCAGACATTACAGGCTGACAGAGACAGGAGATTCACCACGTTCCTAAAAGCCATCTATGCTAGCGGATTCGCCGAAACTCTTGCAGGTAATAGAATTGCTAATATTGAGGGCAAGTGGAGCACTTACCTCGGGCGCGTGTGAGGAAGGCGCCAAAATCATTAATAATGAGCTTTATAAATCTTCTCATACAATGCTTCAAAATCCCTAAATGAAATAAAAGAAAAATATATTATTATAAAGTTTGGCTTCACGGAGCGTAGCCGAACTGTTGGTTCTTGGGTAACTCATTGTTTGAACAGTCGCCCGGATTGCGTAAGGTTTTGAGTTCTAGTTCCATCTTGGGGTACTTATGGCTGGTGGATACTTTATTAAAGTTATTTAATTCGTTCGTCAGAGAGTAAGACGTACACAGTGTTCGCTCCGACGGACTCTGCGTTCGCTCGTCTAGCGGCGGGCGAGGCGGCACGGTACTCGGAGGCGGGTCCGGCGCGTGCGCTGGTGGCGCGGCACGTGCTGCCGGGCACACTCTACAGCGCGGGCATGCGCTACTACCAGCTCAGGAACTCCATGGAGGAGACCAAGCCGCTCACGCTGCAGAAGAACGCCGGTAACGACACCTTTTTTGGTATCCATGCCCGCGATATCACCGATACTTTTGTTTTTTTTTAATAACTGGAAGAACTCACTCGAGATAATAAATTTTCGGTCACTTGTCATATGACCATGCGAAGGTTGCTTTATTCTCACAAAATTAACCATTGCACCATCGAGGTCTACGATAATTTATATTTCTTGCTGAAAATCTTTATGGGCCAGAAGAATTCGATATGCCAACGCCAAAGATAAAAAGGAAGTCTGCAAGAGCTGATCATGAGATGACCAATTTACTGTGTTAAGCTATCTCTACGTGTTTTCGAAGGCATGTTAAGCCATTGGTCCCATCTGTATATGCTGGACGTTACCACCCACCCGCACTGGTCCCGCGTATTATTTTTCCCTAGCAGTAGTGGGAGATTATAGGTTCATTATAAAGATTAAGGCACCATATTTGCGCTACAAACACAAAACATGTTACTTTCTCACTATAAATGAGTTGTGATCATTTTTACTAAACTTCCTCGAAAATAATGTAACCGTATCTTCCTTGCAGTTTTTTTTATAAATCTCCATTTACATTCCAGGTCGAATCAAGGTGAACAATGCACAAGTGGTGACGCACAACATCCCAGCGACCAATGGCGTCATCCACGCCATAGATAATATCCTGTAAACTACAAAATAACACCCCACCTCGCGCCCGCCGCGACGGCTACATACAAACTGAATAAAGCGCGCTAATACCCGCCAAATTAGCTTCAATGAAGCTTAGAACTTCCTCTAAATCAACATTTCTGAAAATCACCAATCTTTTATTATTCAGATTGGTAGACCCAAAATCAGCGTTCTTGATTACGATGGAGCGAGTTGCCGTTCAGCGCAATTTTGTCTATGGTCTTTTGTCCCATTCCCCTATAATCTTGTTTATAGCACGAATGTTCGAAAAGAAAACATTGAACATTTATCAAACACTAATCAACTTTTACTATCGATCCCAATTTAGAATGTTTCGACAAGAACACATAATTTGCCACGAAAAGAATAATTACCAACTAAACAAGGGCATTAAAACTTGAGGTAGTGTAAAGTCATCATATTGTCTTTTCAGTGTTTTATTTTGTTACAACCGAGTAGATATTAATAATAATAGTTTATTCAACAATTTAAAATAATTATTTCTGCTTTTAGAGATACTTTATCTCGAAGTAAAAGCAGGTAATGAAACAAAAAGCTGTCTCGCATCTCACTAGGTTAGCAAAGGACTGCTATAGACAATTCTTGGGTCATCAATCTAAGCAAATCTAACTCGATAATATTAATAGTAACTTATAATATTACTAAATACTAAACGTCGTCCTCTTACTGAAATCGCTACTATAATCTACTTCCCTTCCATCCTATTATGAGTCAGACCTTATGTTAATACTGGAACAGATTTGTCATTTTAATGTTAATTATTATGAACAAGAGCAGCGCGGATGAAAAACTCATAAATTATGAGTTAAGACTGTAAATAAAATTAGGGAATAAGCAAATAATTTATATATTATGTAATTAGTATTTCTGTAAATAAAATTGATTACTTATTAATGTTTTATTTTATTTAAATATAATGGAATTATTATTTTACCCGCAGTTGTATCAACTAACAGCACCTCAGGTTATACAAAACCTTCAAATGACGGTAGAGTTAGAGATAAAGGTAGAGTTCAAAATCAACTGCGGAAATATATTTAAAGACAAAAAATGAAGGCTCGCATCTTAACACATTTTGTTTATATTGTCCGCGATTATCACGCGTTTGGCTGAACCGTTTTTCACGCGGTTTTCAAAAAAGTATTTTTAGTGTATAAGAAATATCAATATCACTAAAATGCATAAAAATGAAAACTTTTTAAAGAAATAGAATAGACTTCAAACTAAAGTCGGGCGGAGGTTTTTTGTAGGTTAAAAACTGTTTCTGTTTAAAAACTAAAAAATAGAACTAAGCAGAGGTTTACTTAGTACAAGGCTCTACGGGAGTAATATTTACCCCTAGAAGTTAGTGGGTTTGCCTATTCTCTGTTTAATATGAATTTGAATAAATAATAAAATTACAATTTTAGCGTAAATTTACTCTGACGCTAATACCTACTTGTTTATATTTATATTACTGTTAGTGTGGATTAAATTATATTATTATCTATTCGTCATATTATCTATTGTTACTGTAAATAAATAAAGCTCAAATACTGTAATATGTATGTTATTTGTGTATTCTAAGAAAATTGTTCTATTTTATGGTCATGGCATGGGGCGTCGTTATCGTAATGTGTTCAAGGTCTTTAAGCTGTGAAAGACAGGCGTCATTAAAGATAAATTTGTACATACACTTGTGCGAAAATTTATAATTTATAAATTTAATTACAGTCAGGTAGGTACCCAATTAAATACACCGGTGCAACACAGTTACAATGAGGAAGTGTTTAAAAAAAGAAAAGCATTAAAACTTATATAGCTCCACTAGATGGCGGCTCTACCAAAAATTGTTTTTTGCAGGAAACGAATGGACCAAAGATAGTGCATTTCCGTTCCTTTTGACTAACATATTAAAAAACTGAAATTTGCAAAGTTCGAAACTTCAAAAATCAAAAAGTAATAATACAATACGAAAAAGTACAAATAGAATATGAGTTGTTTATTGAGTTTTGAAAAGTAATTTACTTTTATACATAAAAGAAAACTGGAAGGGTTGTCATGGAGAAATCAAGAAAGTACCGTAGCGACATCTGATTTGATTACGGATATTATCTCTCTCTGTCTCTCTTTTTATATAGCCGACTTTTAAATACAATAAATCTATGGATCTCGCAAAATGGTATAAAAAGCCATGGTCAAAGTTAAATGATTCTTCTATTATACACCCACAATTTTAAGAGGCCCTCAACTTTTTATCATGAAATAAAATAAAATGATTATAAAAAAAATATATTAAAATTACATTATTTTAAAATGATACCATAAAATAATGAAGGCGTTTTGGTATCACTTTCACTTAAACAAATTGATTAATACTTCAAAATTAAGTAAAATTAAATATAATTGGTTACACTAATCAAACACACAAAACATACACACACTAAGTATAGGTCTTGCCACGAGTGATGTTCTGTTATATCATATTAATGCTGTATCATATTTTTTATGGGCTACAATTGTGGGACAAACATATGAATGAACTGATTAGGTGTACATTCACATAACTCTTCCAATTTCACTTAATACTGATCACTGGTGGTTTGGCCTATACTCCCTACGATTTGTAGTTAAATTTGGCGAGCATCATTTTCAATTGAGCTATTTCATCATCTTTTGCTGCCAATTCTTCTTTCAAGTTCCTTATAGTATCATCTTTATTTTCTGACAAATTTCTAAGTTCTTCCAAAAGCTGATTGGTGTCCAATCTGTTTCTCGGTCTTCTCTGTACAAGCTTGCCTATGATGTGTGCTATTTTAGGGTAATTGGCAGTCAAATGTGCTGGAATCTGGCCCTTGCGTAGGTCTTCGATAGTCTTCACTCTCTCCATATCTGTGCTAAATGGTGCCACCAATTCCAGAAGTATTATGCCAAGACTGTACATATCACTCTGAAAAAGATATAATATTGTGCATTAGTTAAACTTGCATAATGCTTCCTTTCATTTCTTCTCTATTAAGTTACATTTTGATCCATTAAATGTGTTATCAATAACTCACAGCATAATTTATAAAATCAACACCTTTGTTTATGAAATTTAAATCCACTATTATACATGTTGATATATTTATCATCTGTAATTGCCAATATAGTCCTAAGCTTAATTCTCAGTTGAACATTTTCTATTTACATCAAATATAGTAATTCTAATAAGCTGCTTTGGATTAAAAACATCACCTCAAACAAATTTAATAAAAAAAAAAAAATCACTTTTTGCCGATTGGCATATTAAGGACTATGTTATATACTGAGATGAGAAATATCCTGTAGGTCAACTCTACTAGTGTTTATGTATACTATTTCAATAGAATCTCAACTACATGCTATTTGCCTTTGTACTACCTTAAGACCTATATTATTAGTCCAATGTCTTACTGACACATCAAAGCTGACAAATACATATATTATAATATTGGAACTTTAATATTATCCTGTTATGTCTTTTCAGCTTTCTATCTGTATACTTCATGCAGAGTTGATGAGTCTGAAAATACTTATTGTGGCAGGAACCACTAAAGGCAAAATCACATAGTAATTTACCAACAAAATGGACCAATTAGATGAAAGACATCATCATTCAAATTTTACACCATAGTAAGAGATGCACTGAAAGGCTGTGCAGGCAACTAGTTTGCACCAGATGTTATGGAGGACTGATTAGGAGAGATATACTTGAAAACTAAATACTGGATAATTTAATTTTATTATAGGTTTTTGATTTAATTAAGAGGTGGGCCTTTAAATGGCCAATTAAGAAAATCTGGAACTTATAAAAAATATATATATATTTTTTTTTTTGTCTTTCAGTAGACTTCAACTATAAGTGAGTTAGCATAAAATTCAGTTTTTATTGATATTGAATTTTAAACATTAATATAAAATATTGGAGTCTATACTTCAAGGGTACTTATATTTCATTGGCTTTAGCTTGCTCTTAAGAATGCAACTCATTTAAATTGCAGCTCTTAAAGTCTTAATTTATATAGGTGACCTATTGACCATGGTTACTTGTTCAAGCAAAAACTAAAAGAACTCCTAGAGTTGTTTCCTTTGAAACAATCTTTCGGAAAAAACAGAATATAAAAAAGGAATCACCTTAGGGTTGCATTGTCCATCAATTTGTTCAGGGGCTGCATACAAATGTGTTCCCAAAGCCAAGCCACTGTGGGACTGCTGTAAGGGACAGGCCAGTCCAAAATCTCCCAGCAAAACTTTAACACCACTTTCACTCTTCACCACAAATACATTACTTGGTTTGATGTCATGATGTATAATACCTCGGGAGTGGATATAGTGCAGTCCACTGACCAACTGTGTAAACATGTCCATGAGAAGATCAATGTGTGTAAAAGCAACTGGATAATTGAATTCTGCACTTAGTGGAGAGTCCAACACAGGCGAGTCTGCATGGAATGTCAGATCTTCTGACCCTTTCCTGGTTATTATGACACGATTATTGCGTTCGTCTAACCACTGCCTCAGTGTTTGCTCGCAGTATGTCATCTGGATGTATAGTGTCGCCCATTTTAAGTTGATTCGAGAACAATTTTCAAAATTGTTGCTCCCGAACACTTTGCATAAAGCATTTTCCTCATTTTCTGGTCGACTATCATCATCGCTGTCAGAATCAATGAACTCCTCGGTTGAACTATTATCGGTTTCTTCCAGGCTGTTTGAGTTTTTAAAGGAAATTGTAAAGTCAGACTTTGTATGGTGGTTGTGGTAAAGCTCTTTTGAGTTATGGGTTTTGAATGAAGTGATTATGTTTGGGTGCGCTGAGGAAATGATGTCTGAGGCAGAAAACTCATCACTGTCCATGTCCATTTGAAGTTTACCTTTCCCCTTCTTTTTAACTTTCGATTCTATCATAGGTTCTAGCCAAGCCGCTTTATAATTGACAATGTTAGGATGGTTAAGACTCGCTATCGTCTTTACTTCTGATAAGTGACTCATAATCGAGTTGACATCACTGGACTTTATGTAAACCTTTTTTACAGCATATTCAACACCATCCAAGCGATGTCTGGCTTTGAAAACACTACCAAACCCACCACCCGCTATGAAGTACAGCTCCTCAAACTCTCTATGATAACGGGACCATTCCAGGCCTGATGGTTGAAGGATAGGCCACGTTGCTGGTAGGGTTATTGGAATTTCTGACCCAGTTGCAACAGTCACCAGTTGATACAAAGCCCTCTGATACTGACTCCTCATAACCTCGAACTCTCCCATAGCATATGAGTTATCAATTAGGTTCATACTGTGCAATTTTTCACAAATTGTATTATAGAGTTGATTGGCTCTAACATTATCTTTCTCTAAGAGTGAACACAGCTGTTTCACTAGGGATTGAACAAGTAGACTAATTGGAGTGGTGGCTGTGGAGTTGACAATCTCAACTTGCTGCATACTCTTATGTAAAAATGAGTCATGATGACTGCTATGGGCCAATCCTGAAAAGTAGAGAGGTTTTACTTTATAAAGAGTCAACTGATTCATAATTAATAAATTTACAGAGATAAAAATATTGGTAAATGTGTTTTTCAAATGTATTTATTAAAGCGACAAATTCAACAGAATGTGTAAATGTAATGATGCACTACTTTGTTCCAGTTTGCTTTTTATTTAGTCTTAGAAATTTCTAGATAATAGTAGGTTAGTGGTCAACCACACCATGATGTGATAATTTGTTTCAAATTATGATATACATATAAAATATAAGTAGGTATAACAATCATTTTTATAAGTAAGATAAGTGTTATCATGAAAAATATAGTGATACATAGAAGCCAGCAGTTTCATCATCTAGAAAATTAGATCGTATTCCTTTCATGTACAATGTCGAGTCAAACGCTTTCACTCTCACATTTATGTAACAAAAATGATATTAAGAGTCACCATCCACAGTCTTGATCTCAAGGCTACGGGTGGTGTTCTTCGTTATTTCAATAATATTGTGAAACACGAGACGAAATTATAGAATTTTACCTAAATCAAAAGATTTAATAGTTGCAAGAGATTCCCACTTAGCCTGCCTTTGATTTTCCATTGTTTACTTTATTTATTGTGTACTGTTGTGTCACTGAATGTGAAGTTGAAGCCACGATTTAACTTCAGTATAGTCCGTTGAAAACATTTTCACGCAAAAACTAAATAGTTTTTGCAAATATTTCAAATTTTACAGCCATTCATACAAATCTAATTTCAGACTACAAAAATCATATCACACTAACACATTATCACACCATATTTTGTAATAACATTCTACGCCATTTTTATTTTCGTCAATGGTTCTTTCTTTTGTTTTTTTATTGTTGATGGTAGACAGCTTCCCACGTATGTGCTCTGTGGGCCCACGGCCCCACGGCCGCCACCGGCTCCACATGCTAAAACCCTATGTCTAATGACCAGTGGTCGGAATTAGGTAGAGTTATTCATGTACTTACACTGATTTCATACAGCGAAAGAATAAAGTGGATATGCTTCAAATCCCGATATTAATTTTAAAGAGCAGAAAAAATCCCGTGATTTATTAAATAAAAAGTTATTTACTTTTACACAATTTAAACTACTGAACGCACGACGTTGCCAAACTTACGTCAATGAAAGAAAGAAATAAAGAAATCCCGGGAAGATCCACATTAATATCAACATTTCGATGCAAGTACATAAATAACTCTACCTAATTCCGACCTCTGCTAATGACAAAGTATTTAAAAAAAAACATTAGTTCCCGAAATCAAACTAGATGTCGATACGTTACGTTCTTGCATTCTCCATGACAACCCTTCCTGTTTTCTTTCATTTTTAAAAGAAAATTAGTTTTCAAAACTTAATAAACAACTCATATTCTATTTGCACTTTTTCGTATTTGTATTGAGATTTAAGTTTCGAACTTTTCAAATTTCAGTTTTTTAATATGTTAGTTAAAAGGAACGGAAATGACTGTCTTTGGTCCATTCGTTTCCTGCAAAAATCAACTTTTGCTAGAGTCGCCATGGTGTGGTAGTGGAGGTGCTTTTTAAGTGCTTTCGTTTTTTTTTTCAAATACTTCCTCATTAAAGTAACAAAAATAATAAAGTTAAAAGTATTCACAGATCCCAGATAGCATGCTAACTTGAGGCAAGTTTGAATTTTCTTTGAAATATACAAGGCAAGTTTGTGACAATGTCGCTGCAATATTGTTATGTTAAATATGAAGTTTCAAGTTTGCGACAATATTGTTTGAATATTGTTATGACAAAGATACTAATATACCACAACTGCAGCAACTTGCAGCAAGTTTAAATCAAACTTTCTAGTCTCTGCGTGACAAACTTTCACCAGTTACTACTACGGTAGTAGTAAAAATAATTTTCCTAGGTACACTTGCACTACTTTTGATACGTCAAAGGTAAAAAATGAGTTATTAACTTCTTGCACTCTAGCATACAGCCGATATTGAGTCTAAATTTGTTTAAAAAAACTACATAAATTAAAAAACTACAAAAATTCATACAAAGTAATCTTTGAATAAATTTATTTTTTATTTGTATAGAGGTAAATGGAGACTAACATAATGGAAGTGAGCACAGAGGTTTTTTTTTATTTATGGAAATAAATTGAATTAATGCTGTGATATAATTAAATCATTACAACCGAACAAATCATTACATATTCCAATATTCTATATCAACTGATTGAAGGAAAACTAATTTTGATAAGGAAGAACTTTTAATCTATTTCTTTATTGATAAAGAGTCACAAGCCAACTTTTCTAAACATGTGTCTAAAATATGTATTTCAAGATGTGTATATGTTACATACACAAAAATTCGGTTTTCATTTTATCAAAATTTCGATGTTTTTTGTAATATTGATTAATTTAAATTTATTACGAAAGAAGTCCAATCGAATAACTCTTATTCCTTTATAATATAAGTGAAAACATTGTGATCCGAGGGGCTTCTTTCGTGAGACGAACTTTAGTTAGTTTAGCATAAGTCATCACCAGAGGTCGGAATTAGGTAGAGTTATTTATGTACTTGCATCGAAATGTTGATATTAATGTGGACCTTCCCGGGATTTCTAATGGACAATTTCTAATTCTTTGGACATCCGATGTCATTGATGTAAGTTTGGCAACGTCGTGCGTGCTGTAGTTTAAATTGTGTAAAAGTAAATAACTTTTTATTTAAAAGCTGTGTCCCTACAAAAATCACGGGATTTTTTCTGCTCTTTAAAATTAATCTCGGGATTTGAGGCATATCCACTTTATTCTTTCGCTGTATGAAATCAGTGTAAGTACACGAATAACTCTCCCTAATTCCGACCACTGGTCATCACTCATACATGCGAAGCTACCCGACACCGAAAAAAAAATCTTTTTATACCTTTATACCTTCAATGCAAAACAAAATCAGCAAGCAGTTAGTATCGTAAACTTCTTAAGGGCAACTTATTAATTTTTGTTCCCAAAATAGCCTATAAAATCGTAGCAGTCATTGAAGTACGTTATCGGTGAATTATAGGGTACCAAAGAGAGCCGAAGTCGACAGATTTATTTTTAACTTCTTTCAAAAATGCAAACAAAGAAAAACTATTTGTTTGGTTACTCCAGTTACGATTGCAACTGGTGAAATCTAGTGAAAAATTGTTGAACGTGATATACGAGATCATCTAGCTAGTATATCTAGAGTACGTTAGATGATCCTAAGGATATATTGATATTTTATTCATAAACATCGATGTTAACTAAAAAACATCGATGAGCCGATGTTATCGAAGTTAAAACATCGATGTTTTCTAGCAGAATACGATGTTTATTAAACATCGATGGATATCGACATCCCTAATTCAAAGTTGTCATTTTTTATTATTGTTTCTTTACGTGTGAAGACCACAAACGTGACATTGGCGGAATTGTGTAAACGCAAATAGGCCATGAATTAAAAAAAGAAGAAGAAAAATACATTTTTTTTTTCATTAACAAGATACGCACATTCTTTCAAAGAAAATAAAATTAAAATAGTACCTCATTTAAAAATAAAGTTATCTTAACCAACTATGGCATGCGGTGTGGTCGATTTGTCTTGAAGGAATGAGGTTTTGAGTTGATAAGGTTATATAAAAAAGTAATTATTTATAAGTTCTTAAAATGAATTTACTACCTAAAAGTCATAAAGAGTTCAGTAACAAAGACTACTGGAATAAGTTTTTCAAAAAACGAGGAAACAAAGCTTTCGAATGGTAGGTTATTTAGCCGGTTTTTGACAATTTTTGTTGTCCATAAACTAATTCAATAATCTTAGCCGGTGAAGTACCATTCAAAATGACATTACATTTTTTCTTTTTAAAGGTATGGAGAATATTTAGAGCTGTGTTCACACCTACATAAGTATATAAAACCGAAAGATGCAATATTGATCCCCGGATGCGGTAACTCCAGTCTAAGTGCTGATCTTTACGATGTTGGTTATCATAACATCATAAATATAGATGTTTCAGAAGTTGTTATAAGACAAATGAAATCTATCAACGCCAACAGAAAAAACATGCAATTTCTGTGCTTAGATGCAACAAACACTTCTTTTGAGGATGAACAGTTCAGTGTAGTATTAGATAAAGGCACCCTGGATGCTCTTATGCCAGATGACACTGAAGAGACAACCACTATAATAGACAAATATTTTTCTGAAATTAAAAGAGTCTTGAAGTTTGGTGGTCGTTTTGTGTGTATATCATTACTTCAGAGTCATATACTGCATAAGTTGTTGGAGACATTTTGTGATAAATCTTGGATGTTCCGTGTTGTGAGATGCCATGAGGCTGAACAAAAAAATGCTGATAATGGTGATGGTACAACACTACCGGTGTTTGTTGTTGTCGCAACAAAATTCAAAGTTATGCCTCAATTAGTAAGTATTATCAATACATTAACACTGAATTATGGTTTGATTTTCATTTTAGATAGGTCCATTAAATTTTTCTATGAAACAATCTAAAATATTTTCTATAGAAAAATGTGATGTTTTTTGTTAAAAATATAATTTTGTAGTGGAGCATGTTCATGGTATTGTTATGAATTTATTCGTATTTATTTATTTCATTTATGAATTTATTCATATTTATTTATTTATTTATGTTATGAATTTATTCATAACTAAAATAAATAAATAAAAACTTAATTAAAGACTAAATTGTTGTTATTTTCTGAAAAATTATTTGGAAAAAAGAAACTTTTGATTAAATAAAATAAATTGTTTATTAGTTGTTAGTGTTAGGAGCATATGTCATTTACAGAGTATGGATACCTGTAGGCCATATTTTATTAAACTAAATATTATGACCCTGCCATCAATCTATACATATATTCGAAGTTGGTGTTTTTGTCAAACAGAATCAACAACTATTTGAAAATAAGACGAGATTGCGTCATTGAGACAAATTGTGTACAACACCCTCTAAGACAGCTCTGTTGAACAAAAGTATCTTTTGTATGGCTCCAAAAAATTTTTAATAAAATTCCAAAAACAATACGTAATCTGGATAATTGTAATGTTTTTAAAAGAAAACTTTGTAAATTATTAGTAGCTAAAACATATTATAGTGTAAACGAGTATCTAGCTGACAGTACTTTGTAAATGTATAAATACTTAATGAATTAATTGAATTTTTGACATAACATGTTATTGATTAGATTAGTTGACAATTACTAACCTACTAATAGTGTATGCCTTTTAGGCAGATCATGGTGTAACTATTCAGTCCTTGCATCCAATATCTTTATATAACCTGTGATCAACAATAAAGATTGATTTGATCAAATTCACAGATTCTAGAAGTGTGTTTGGCAGGTGAAAAGATGGTACGAATGTCTACTACACAAGAGCTTGCTGGTTACATCAAATCTGCACAAGACACAGCTTTTGTCACCAATGGTCTTGCTAAAACAAATCTACATGAAGATAATGAGGTAATTATGACAAATAAAGATGTTTTTTTCTCTAGAATCTTCTTGAGTAACTTAATAATAGTACTGACTTCAACTGCATACTATAAAACAGCATCTGTGGGAAATTGAAACAATTAAAAAATATATGTCCAAAATAAATGGCGTAGTCAGTTTTGGTTTGCACTTATGCATTGCACTTATGCTAAGTATGTTCTTTAAACAAATAATACTAAAAGAGAGAGCAGTATGTGTTACATGACACACTACATTAATAGTGACACTCGGGAATTTACAAAATGTATTTTTTAGTTTTGTAGACTGGTGGTACTTTAATATCATAATGTACACAATATGATGCAATAAGGTAGGACATAATTATTATTCAAAATATTGAATACTTGCCTGTCTGTCTTTGTTAATTATAGCTTATAAAGCTGAATAGTTTGTTTGTTTGAACGCGCTAATCTCAGGAACTACTGGTTCGAATTGAAAAATTCTTCTTAATAGTACAAGTAATTTATGCTTATACAAACTTCATTAATAGTGTCATCTTCGAAATATACTCCTTGCAAACTATCAAATTATCTTTTTAACTGAAACAAATTAATAACTTAATACAGAACATTTGAGTTAAGAAACTGTTTTTTAACATTCCTCTTTTTAGGTAACTCTGGATCTAATACAACCTGGAGAAGAAAATCCTCGTTATACACTATTTATAGTGGATCAGAAGCAAAAGCAGGCTGTCAATAAATATGCCGTTTTCATTGTGCCACAAGGAAGGTAAGTCCTATACACTGTTAATAAATAAGGCGTAAATTGACATTGAGTCTGCAATTGGTTCAAAATTAATATTATTAAACAGAGATTTAGCAAAGGTTAACTTAGTATGAGGTTTTATGGGAGTAATATTTACTCCTAGAAAGTAGTAGTAGGTTTGCTTATTGTCTTTGGAAAAAACTCTGGAAGTTTTCTCTAAATATATGGTGCAATGTATGTAATATCACTCAAGTAACTACTTATAATGTATGGCTTAGTTACACTAGTCGATAGGTCACTATGCGGAGTGTGGACAACCTCTGCGTGCTTATCTCATTAGTCAATAAAACAAGCAAAGAACGGTAATCGCTCAGCGCCATCTAGTGATAGATTGTGTCAGTGTTAAAATTGAAGAAATGTGAAAACGTAACCCAACGAATAGTACATTAATAAAAAACATTATAAAAGTGAAACTTATCACCATACTCGAAAATGTAGATTTTTCATTGATAAATAAATTAAAATTTATATCGAACATGCAATTAGAACACTGGCGCCATCTCAGTGACAGATCGCGCAAATCCCATAGTAGTACATGTATTTTATGACAGATTGCTAATCACTTAATATGGGGTATAAACTTTTTTAAATCCCTTTTAAAATCTGAATCTACACGAACATTTATTTACATATTAATATATTTGATACATAATCTTTTCTTGGGTTACGTTTTGTAAACATGTTTTTGCTAATGAATGAATCGAAAATACAATGTTGCTTTGCTTGCTACCCGCCTTCTGACTATTTAAAACACCTGTTTACTCTGTTGCTATTTTTGATTTTATGTATACATAATATATTTTTATTACACTAACAAAGTGGTAACATTTTTATATCCTGGAAACCAATGATATTACAATAAAAGTGTCACTTAAAACTATGCTAATTACTATACTGAGCGCAGTCTGGCGAAAGCGTTGATTGTGTGCGTTTATGTACCATAATCATTTTAAAAATGTCATTCTGTCTTATGCGAAACTGTTGTAACAACATAAGTAAGTCATTAGACTAAGGGGTCACATTTTATTCGTATGTGTGCATTTTTAATTCTTTTTCGTTTTATCAGAAAAATAAATAATGTGTCATAAAAATAAAGAGTAAATACTTTAGTTACATATTGTAAAAAAGATCTGTCGATGATTAAATAAGTATCAAAACAGACCATTCGACTTTAGTACCTACGCTCTTACTTACATTTATTTGAAAATCTATATGTGACTGAAATTCCGAAACTCCGGGGTCTGGGGAAACCTATCTCCGGATTTAAAAAAATACTCCAATTCTGATTTCGATTGAAGCCCTCGTGTTATTATTATACATATTATCAGTGTCAGGTTTATTTTGTCGCTTGAAAAGCTTCATTATTTATACGCGGGGAAAAAAAAAGAGTATATATCTACACTAAAGACAAGGAGAAATAATAATGTTAGACATCAACATTTTAAGTTGAACTGTTGATCGGTCTTTAACTCGTTTATGTAAAAGTAGGCATTTAATTACTAGAAGTCTGGTCTGTGACATGTTCAATGTTTCGTGTGTAACAATTTTTGACATCGTATTAGTGATGACCTATCTACATAACATGGCCTATCTACTCTTTTTTATTGTAATATCATTGCTGGAAACTAATAAAACTAGCTACACGTAGTAACGGATTTCCGAGGTTCTGTAATTCCGGAACCCGTAAAGGGCACGAGAGGTCTAAAAATGTAATAATTTAAAAAATACACGTGATTCAACCATTTAAAGTAGTTTTATTTTAGTAATAATCGTAGTAGTGTGCGAGTAATTTTAAAAATTGTTTCTGAGGCGCAATTCGCTATCCTGTCTTTATGTCCCTTATTGTGCCCGCAATGAGATAGAAAGGGACAGGCTTTTGTCATTACCTCCTGTTATGCATAATTTTTAATTAATGTACAAGGAGATCAACAAAAAACCTATTTTCTGTTTTTAAATTGGATTCATAATCAAATGTCAACAGAAAAATTGCGTGCCATTTTTAGGTTTTATAATGAAAAATATAAAAAAAAACAATTTACGAAAATGTAAATATTGAATATCGTATTGAGATCTTCTTTCTATTCTTAGTTTGTCAAAAATAGTGAGAAACTATAAAAACATAAAACGCATTACTGACACGTAATTTGGTGTACGTTTGTGCAACGACGGAGGCGTTTGGAGTGATGCCCACCTCACCCCATATCCCACAGGAACGATCGGGAACGCGAAACCAAAACAAAGCGACGTGAGTTAAACACGATCCGTTCCTGTAAACATCCAGTCGCGCTCTCGAAATAAATAAAAAAAAAACTATTTTCGAAATTTAAATTTATTTTTAAATTCGTAGAATGAAATCGATGTGACCTTATTTTAGATTGTTTTTACTGTATTTATTTTTTATTATTTATATAGTGAGGTGAAAAGAGTTCGTATACTTTTTTCTTTTGAAAATAAATATTTGAAGAACAGTTTGCAGGTAGGTTAATTTCATAATAAATTTTTTATATTCTAATATTTTCAAGGCCGTCGCAGATGTAAGTGCAGATTCCTCCCCCCCCCCCCCCCCGAGATTCTAAAAAGTTGTCTAAGTTGTCTTTGACTCTATTCTTACACTCAACTGCGATGTCAACTGCTACACACTCAACTGCTATGCTTTTGTTATAGAGAGTGGTGTACATTCAAACACCCAAATTATTTTTATTATATAAAAAAATAGAGTTGGACTCAGTACTGTTGTTATTACAGTTGCCGTAGATATAAGGCTCGTTACACTAGTAAAAAGTTTCTTGTGCTCTCGATTCTAGTTACAATTCATACATGGCTCATTCTCCATAGTCAACTTGCACCCGCTTGGCCATCGGTTGGCGACGCCTCTGAATATCTTTTTCAATTAGTATTGAAAAATAAACAAATATACCTACAAACCTGCGTGGACTAACTGGATCGCACGCCAATTTCAAGGTGTCGTCAGCTCTGAAGTGACCTGTTATCCCGGTGAAACGATTTTTCTAAACTGCCTTGAATCTTGGATAGTTTAGTTAGTTTACCTCAGTTGTTACCTACTTAGATTTCCATAATATCATTGCTTAAGCCTACCTTCATTCGGGATCTCTAATATTTATTTATAGTCAGGACGTAAAATGGCTGATGACGATGGATATATACCGAACACGTTTTTGTATACAAACAACAACAATATGTAGCCACTGGGTGGGGAGCGGTGTAAAAAATATATGATACAGAACAGATACTAGCTGTTACATCATATGAATAACATCGCCCCAGTTCGCATAGATAAATTAGTAGTAGTAGATAATTTTTTTGATTAATTAAGATAAATTTTTAAAATCGGTTCAGTTTCTCAGCGTATTCAATGCAAAATTAAATATTACCTATGTATGGACTAATACTACCTATTAAGTAGCTCGGTGGCATAGAGGATAAGCGCCACGGCCCGCGATCGTTGTTGTTAAGCATCTTTCTCAAGGGTCGGTCACGGGATGGGTGACCAAAAGATTATAATCTCGAGCTACTTCGGAATGCAAGTTAAACCGTTGGTCCCGGTTGCATTTGCAGTCGTAAATACCCTCCATTCCGCATTGGGCCAGCGTGGCCCATCCATAAGGAAGGCCTGAGCCCCAGCAGTGGGGATGTAAAAGGGCTGATGATGAATACTACCTAACAAATACATAGTTCCGAATTGTTATTTTCAATATATTTAAAGATCTAAATATGGCCGTCTAGATTTTCGAAAAAACTCATTAATTAACCATCAGAAATCTGTTGAAGCGTGCCTACACAATAACCAGATCACGGCTGTCGTTCCACGCCAAAGAAATTGTCGCAGATGCCATGAAAGTTATGTTGAACGGTCGCATTTCTCAAGGGCAAGGATTAAGTGGAAAGCGCAGCGTGTTATTTATAGTACGCCCACTATAACTTTCCCTCTAACACTGAAATATAGCCTCGGACATTTGTAACTAAACTCGTAACAATCGTAAATTTATTAACCAACCTTCCAACGTTGAGGGTTAAGTAGATAAGTCGAGGTGTGTCTGCTATTAAGATCATAGCAGGCCTCGACTTATCTACTTAATAATAATAGTAATTGTAAAATAGGCGAAATCAATGAGGCAAAGATAAATGATGGCGTATTCAGCAAAATGGAGCTTTATAAATAATTATCAATTTAATTCTCGGGTATAAGTTTATTTCAAAATCAAATTGAATTGGTGGGTAGGTAAATATTTGGCTTTTATTCAAAAAATATAACATATAAAAATTAAAATTTAAAAAGTTCGTGCAATTAGTCCGTCAACACTTTGTGAATATTACGACAGGTGTGTCAATTGGGGCGTGATACTATGCAGCTATGACGTCAACAAAGTAAGGCAGGGTGCACACAGTTTGTTTATGTTTTTGCTCCTAATGAGAGTAAGTTTTTAGATGTTTTAATTAATATACGAGTATATTATATACTGTCAATTCAAATATGTTTTCTTTTTAAATAAGGGATAGGGCGTGAAATTAGTAGTTTTAATTAGTAGGTTATTATTAGGGTTTCCAAATCATGTGTATGTTTTTGTCGCTGATGCTTTCGGGTGTTGCGGTGCTTATGATTTATTGCTTTTTGTATTAACAACACTTAAAAATAGATGATTTTAAGAAAAAAAATACTTCCTATTTGTTGGACAAATGTTATTATAAAATTTATTAAAATTTATTAATATTTATTTGCTGAATAGGCCATTATATAGCTGGTTAATATTATTAAAAGATATAGAATCTAAAACACTTCGATATAGGCATATTTCTGTCATGTTCTTATTTTCCGAATTAATGAAAAAAAAGAAAAGGAAAGCGGCTTACATACGGCTGATTAGTTATTTATTCAAGATTAACCCTTTACATGCTGTTTCTAACATAACCCAATACATTTAACTGTTTAAACCTCTAAATAATAAAAAAATAAAAAAAATACGAATGCCACATGCTAAAGATATAATGAAGTTTACGTAGTATGATTTTAAAAAGATATGCTATATGTTTTCGACGAGTGTTGATTATTGCCATGTATCACCAATACGAACACAGCTTTATTGCCACGCCTACATTTCAAAAGTATTCGTGCGTAGTTTGTTGGATAAATAATAATTCGCTCGGTTCTGCTTAAAATAGTCTCGTATATTTATAATGTTGTTTATATACATTCTAAAATTGAAACGAGTTATTGCCCTTTTTATATTTGGATTGCAAAAAATCTGTTAAATGTGAGTTGTTTTTAGTTGTTGGGCTTTTAAAAGTGTTAGCTTGACGTTGAATAGATTATAATTTCCCCTTGATATGATAATTTAAATATTTTAAAACGTGAGTAATACCTAATGCTAAATTCTTCAAGCTTTTGATTCATCTTCGCCATCATCAGCCCCACTGCTGGGCCACAGGCCTTCCCTGTGTTGGAATCATTCAAATAGGGAGAACTGGCCTCTTTTTTTTAGTTATACTTTTCGTTATACTGCCAATATAATAGTTTAAAATAATTTGTGAAAATTTCAACTGTCTAACAGTTATCATTCATGAGATTCATATTATGATCCGCGTTAATGTCAGTGTCACTTGCGTATGATGTAGATTTCCAGTAGCTGTAAGAATTTTTAAATCAACCCAATAGTTTCGGAGCCTATTTTATTCAAACAAACAAATAATCAAATATTTCGTCTTTATAATATTAGTATTGAGTCTATACTATAGAATAGATAGAGATACGTATCATATGAATTAACAAGACACCTTAAAGCATATTCTATTTTTAATTATTGAAAATGCGTTTCTTATAAATATGACCCCTATTAGGTGGTTCTCGGAAACTTGAACTTGATCAAACTGGATGCGTCCGTCATTATTGTTCTTCACAAATAAATAAATCTGATAGATATTTAGAAAATAAAAAACGGCGATATCAGTGTCTGCTAAGATATCAGATTTTGTATAGATTTGAAGTTTAAAAAAATATCAGTCGACAACAGTTTTGAAGAACAATAATGATGGATGTATCTAACCGTATGTTAAAGTTTCCGCATTTCGTGCTAGATTGCTAGACGAAATTCGTTTTTGAAGAGAAATAGAATAGGCCTCCAGGTCACTTTCTAGGTTGAAACAATTTTATTTCCAACCAGCTTCTATCTAGAAATGATTTTATATCGCAGGGAGTCTGAGTGGTTATTCGGCACGGCGGCAGGTAGACGTCAGCTCCAAGACTCGGCGCAGTTTGGACGGCTGGTGGTTGCCGTGTTACGGAGGGGACACACCTTTGGTACACTAGACGAAGTGAAGGAAGAACTGGCACACGCCGCCAAGATGCTCATACCTCACGGTTTCACAGGCATGGTTGGTATACTCTTCAAATTAAAGAAAAAAAAACTAATTTCAATTTTGGTTATAATCATTATAAGGTGTAAATTTAAAGTATGTAAGCATTTTTTATTTATTTATTCGGAAAACATACCGTGATGTATATCTGTAACAATTACATATTTTCGCATTTATAAATAATATTTTATTGCTAATAAAATATTATTAATTTTAATTTTGGTAAATAAATTTACTTTGACGTTATCAAATATAATAGAGAATATGACGCAAAGCTCGGCGTATATCTATCGGCAGCACTAGCACGCATAATAAACAAACGTTTTGTCTTTTGGAAATGCATGCTAGTTTTTAATAATCTTCAAATTACTTAAATAGTTCTAAATGAAATAATTTTAGACACATGACCGACAGTCATGTATTATATTCAAGTTTTAAAACACCCTCTTCTAATTGTAAATTAAAAAAGAAACCGTTTACTACATTTTGTCACAAAAAATATACTTTAAAGGGAACATTATTTCTCTTCTGTCTAACGCTATATAAAAGGAGTATAGATAACGTCACACTTTAGGAGGGGGGGGGGGGGTAGACGAACTGTGACATTAGAACAATATTTAGTAGAATTTGTATAGATAAATATGTGACATTGGGGGGGGGGGGGGGGGAGGGGGGTTAAAATATCCTGAATTGTGTGTGCCGTAATTTATGGACGGTCCCTATTCAGATTCCGTTCCTGTCGCTGGGCGGGGACGCCGGGCAGCGGGTGCAGGTGGCGGCGGGCGCGTCCGCGGCGTCGGGCGCGTACGCGGTGGAGGAGGTGCGGGTGGAGGGGCGCGCGCTGCGGCGGCTCGTGTTCCTCGACAACCAGTTCCTGGTGCAGTCCGAGGCCGCGCTCAAGGAAGGTACGTCTACCTTGTTGAAGGGTCAAAGGTTCAGTTTATCTCGGCATGGAAAGGTCAAAGGTCGAACTTCTATCGGCATGAAAAGGTCAAACTTCTTCTAATGTGAATAAGTCATTCTTCTCTGTATGAAAAGGTCAAAGGTCAAACACATCTCAGTAAGGAAAGATCTAACTTCTATCTATTCAAAGTTGGATTCACACAACTGTTGGCCGACTTTAAAAAGGAGGTTAATAATATGACCCGTAAGTTATGTTATATTGCTGGAATTGCTCATATTTTATATACTCACCTATACCCTTCGTGAACTTCTAAAGATGTGTGGAAGATTTCGTGAGTGTCCACATATTTCGTGCAAATTAAATATCGGAATTGTTATTTTTTGTTTGTTTTCAACTTTTTAGGGTTCTCAGGTGAACTTAAATAATACAGGACTCGAAAGCACGCTCAATATTGATATTATTAAATATATATTGCGAAAGATAAATTACGAACCAATCTCACCATCGAAAATACTTTATTAAATATGTGATTGACAGTTTGATTAATTTTTATTCGTTTCAACGGTCCGCTAAGTCTTTGCAATATTTGTTACAGTGAAAAAGAAGAATAAAACTAAATTAGTCATAGACTTTGGTCACATGTCATTGTACCACTCGTTCATATGCGCCGGAGTGCAATTGTCTAAGCGCGAGCGAACCCACGTGGCGGTGCTAGGCTTGGGCGGCGGCGGACTATGCATGTTCCTCAGGAAATGTTACGACGATCTGAAGATAACCGCGGTGGACATCGACCCTGAGATGCTTAATGTTGCTAAAGAGCACTTCGAGCTGAAGACCGATGAATGTTTAGAAGTCCAGATCAAGGATGGCTTAGATTTCTTGAAGGATGAAGTCGCTGCAGGTAATAAATATAACAGATAGCTTAATTTATGTATCCAGATCTCAGATTAAGTAGATAAAGTTTTTATATTATGAAAATCCTAAAGACTGATGGTATCATAACAAAATGTTCAGCTTCTACATTGACCCGATTTGGAATCGAACTCGGAGCGACAGAGATGGCGATACTTGAAAACCTGCGTGTAAGCCACTTCACAAAAAATCGAGGCTTTTAACGATTGCATATACAGCTGGAACAATGAATTAATGTGTTCGCCAAACATAAAAGCTAGGATCAGTAGTCTCTGAGAGGCAGTTTATATACTTGTACTGACTGTCTTTCCTAAACTTGACCTATTTATTTCAAAACCCATACATTTTAAACTCAGTTTTGGTTTGACGGTTCTCTTACTGTAGGTATTACAGATACTATGTTATCTCTTTATTCTTTGTTTTTTTTTCTTTGTTAGCACTAGCGCATTAGCAGTAAAATACGCTTGTGTTCTCACTGGCACGAATTCGAAAAACCCTTTACGCGCAGTTTCTTTTTGCGAGGAAATAAAACAAGTATATAGGTTAATAAAACTAAGTATCTATTAAAGGTAAAAATTATTTGTTGAAATTAAACGTGATATTTGAACATGTTTTCGTGTCATACATTTTTATTTGAAAATATTCGTTCTAGGCTCCTTGAAAAACTTTTGCCTCTAAAGTTTGACATATTTTCATCAATTTTTTTTAAACTTCTTTTGTGCTCGGCTAAAAAAATTTAAAAAATACTTTTAAGCAGCAGCAGTGCAGTAAAGGATTTCAGTACATTTTTATTTAACACGTGTTTAAAGACTCACTTTGTTTACAATGGATTAAAAAAATAGGGCTTTATAAGCAACTGCATTGAAAATAAATAAAAAATGCTTACATACTTTAAATTTACACCTTATAATGATTGTAATAAGAGTCATTATAAATTTTACTACTCTGCGCAAGTAAGGATTTACCGTGCACCAAAGTAGGAAATTATCCTTGGAGTTCACTAATAATTAGTACTTACTTTTATTGAATTGTACAGGTCGGAAGTACGACGCGTTGATATTCGACATGGACAGCAAGGACAGGAGTCTGGGACTGTCGTGTCCACCGCCACAGTTCCTGCGAGACGACGCGATAATATGCGCACGAGACGTACTTACAGAACGAGGTATTTATTTATTATATCATAGGAAGACCTACAGCTAACAAACAGAAATGATGTTAAGAATAGAAGACACGAAGCTAGTTACAGGTCCTTATAATTACGAAACAAAGTTCACACGTACAACGAATAATGTTATTAGACGGGTTATTTGCACAAAACATTGACAACAAGAAAGCAAGGCAATTGCCCGAGTTTTAATTTTCAGCAATGGTTGTGGCTAATGTTATTTTGATTTGTAATTTCTGTGAAAAGTTGTGGAAAAAATGCTTTCTGGAGTGGAAAAGGGTAGATAGGTTACTTGAATTCGAAAAGTGTGACCTAAACTATGCTAATTAGTGTACCTGAGCGCAGTCTCGCGAAAGCTTTGATTGTGTGCGTTTATGTACTATAATCATTTTAAAAATGTCATCTAAAGACAAAGGGGTCACATTTTTAGAAAAAGATAAAATAATGTGTATTAAAAAGAAAGAGTAGATGTTATTGTTACATACTGTTAAAAGACCTGTCAAAGATTAATAAGTAACAGAACGGACAATTCGATTTTAGTGCCTATCAATGTCAGGTTCATTTTGTCCCTTGAAAAGCTTCATTATTTATACGCGGGCAAATAATATATACACTAACGACAAGGAGAAATAATAATGTTAGACATCAACATTTTTAAGTTAAACTGTTGATCGGTCTTTAACTCGTTTAGGCAAAAGTAGGCATTTAGTCATTGTACGTCTGGTCTGTGACATGTGATAGTCTATGAATAATAAGAGAGTATCGTGCCATGTGCGTGTGCATGTATGCTGGGGACCTTTTTTATTGTAATGGCATTCCTGCATGTTTAAACAATGCAAAATCACAGTCGACAATGAAAAAAGCAATAAAGGTTTTATTCATTGTCTTGTGTCTTCATCTACAACGTGTAACAGAAATAACGCTCATCTGCGTGAAATAAAAAATGCGATAAAATAATCATCCACTGCCACTGTCATGTTCGCCACATGTGTCATTTTTATTTGTGGTATACTATTTTCCTCTGAAGGGGTTGCTAGGTGTTGTAAAACTCCTTGCCTAAATTTTGCCGTACGGGATTCGAACAAATAGTCTGCGCGATTTATAAACTAATAATTAAAACGCATCACGACTACAGAAGTTTTTTACTTTAAAGAAAATATCGATTTAACACCTACATCAACATTAAAATAGTCAAGAAACAGAAACATTTATATAAAAAAGCGATTAGCGCGAACTATTTATTTTTAGCAATAAAAGGTGGCGAAAGTAAAGAAAGAAGTCTATCTCGACGATTCGTCGTTGCCTTAAAAAAATAGTTCTAGAAATAAAACTAGACAACCCTTCCGGTTTTCTTTCAAGTTTAAAAGTAAATTAGTTTTCAAAACTCAATAAAAAACTCATATTCTATTTGTACTTTTTCGTATTTGTATTTATATCTAAGTTTCGAACTTTGCAAATTTCAGTTTTTTAACAAGTCAGTTGAAGGAACAGAAATGATTGTCTTTGGTCTATTCGTTTCCTGCAAAAATCAACTTTTGCTAGAGTCGTCATCTAGTGGAGGTGCTTTTTTTAGTGCTTTCGTTTTTTTTTTAAAACTTCCTCATTAGCGAAGCATGAGGCGGTCCTTACGGCCTTACGACAGGTTTTAATGTTGTCGCGAGAACAATAGATCGCCCGATCATAGTATGATTTGCCACTCTGGCTTCATTTATAAGCTGCCGCTGCCGTGTATGATAGCGATTTTAGTCGCTACACCTCTTTGTCTATGAATTATTTTACTCTTTGGTTTATGAACTTGTACATCATGGCTGTAACGGTTACACATGACCACAATTTACTTGATTCCAATTAAATTTATCAAATAAAATTACCTATATTAGTAGTTGTTGAAATCAGTATCTGATTTTAAACATACTGCTTTCAGGATGTGCTTTAATCATGTCGTTGTATAAATTACGCCACTTGTATTTCACAATATTTAAACTGTAAAAGGGGCAGAAATCATGTATTAGTCATATTGTTTAATATTTATTTATGTTTCAGGTCACTTCATCTTGAACTTGGTATGCCGCGACACAGAACTTCACGATACCATAATAGAAACATTAAAAACACACTTCGCCCACATAGTGTCAATGAAACTGTACGAAGACGTAAACGAAATCATATTCGCCACAAACGGTGAGACAAAGTACAGCAGTGAGCGTCTGGAAGAAGCCGCTAAGAGCCTTAACACCGCCGCCAGGAGTAAACGTTTGGTTAATGTGAGGTGCGTGGACTTGAAAGATCTGGTGCAATCGGCTAATATCATTTCATAGCGTTGAATAAATAAAGGCTTTAAGTTTAAAAGCTCTTCTTTTGTTTTCGAGAAATAAAATTGCCAAATGTGTGTGCCTCACAGATGAATTCATAGACCGGAGTAAGAAAAGAAGTATCTGATTTATAATGTCGACTGTATTAATACTTAGATATTGCTAGAAGCTAGTTATAAGGGATTAGGTGAATATCTTTCTTTTATAATTTCATATTATGTCTATTGATAATGGTATGACTCAAAGCAGACTATGAACAGTCGAGACGGTTTAAATAATAACATCTGGTTTAGTTAGAATGACATAGCAATAATTCATTTTGCGAATTAAATTGCCATATCATTTAATCTATAAATTTATAAGTGTTGCTCGTACGGCTGGTTAACACGCAATTAAGTAGATATTAAAAAAAATTAACTTGTTACTTATTTGAATGTTTACACTTACTTATTTACTTGAAATGAAGTTATAAATCTACTTACTTACTTGTCAAAGAAAACTATTGACAGAGCACTGATCGTCGCGACTGTACAGCAATGCCATTTTTTAAAGAAACATGTGTTACTTAAAAACATGGCATTGCTGTACAGTCACGACGTACGAACACTACGTCGAACACAGCGGTGTTACATTCTAGTTTCCTTCGTCGTCCAACTAAAGGCTGTCTTTATAAAATAACATTACAGGTCACCATAAAATGTCACATTTCCACTAACGATTTCAGTCTTTACTTTCAAGACGTAAAGTTTAAAATAGACGTAGTGGAAAATTGGATTTATCGTGACGTGCTGTCAGGCTATTTGACAGTCAATCTCCATCCGAAGTTTTGCTGTCTTTAGCCATTGTCTTTTCGATCATATGTTCTTCGCCTTATATCTGAGCGGGACTCAATATTCTGCTCGTAAACTTAAATGGAATTATTAAATTTTAAATTTCGTAAACATTATTTCTTTGGCAATTTCAGACAGACAACCTGTTTTAAAATATTATAAAATATGATAATGACTTCATAAATAAAAGAGTATTTACTCGTATAATATTATAGAATTGTGAATTCTTCTGTATTATTTTTGGAGGCACCCTAGCTTAGCATTCACCCGCCATCTATCTCCACTAATATTGCATCAGTTACAGCCGGTTGCACAAACGTCCAATAAAATTGTTATTAGTTTAAACTGATCCATAATAATTATATGTAAGCGGGTTTTGTTCAAGCATTATTTTGAAAACTATTTATTTACCTCGACGTTGCAGCAGCCGTGGTCATGAGGAGACTGGAGAACTGGCGGGTGTCGACTTCTGATTTAAGTTGAGGCGTGAGGGTAATCCGGTAATAATGTTTTTAACAGATTTTCGCATCTACCCTCCACTTGATTTTATTGTACGTTAAGGTGGCGACACACTGCACTCGCGGTATCCGAGAATATCATTCGTGGTTGTTTGCGATCGCGACACTTACACATTTTTATAACCGGATTCCACGTTGGTGAGAGTTTACATCCACTTTCCCGGTTGATATTGTTGTGTTTTTGTAATTTCAACCGCTTCACGAACAATCCTTGGATAGTAATGTCGTTCAGTGGAAAGGACATGAGGTGTATGTAACTCGATCCAGTGGTTTTATCCAGATGATAATAAGCGCTCTGCAATCGCGGACTTCTGCAATTGACGATTATTGACCGCTGCTATGTGACCCGGTTACATATAATTATAATGTATACAAATCGTGTGAGTTTAAAAACATTATCCATACTTTGATGTTCATTAGAGCTTAAAAAGCAGTCATTTAACTTATGTTTGTGCATAATGTGATCATATTAAAAATTACTTAGTATGCTGTATTAGCTTTAAATTTGAAATTGCCACACTTTATTATAATAACTGTCACTTTATGAATGAATTTTTTATTCTGAAATTGGGCCGCCTGGTAATTTGTCTAGCGGTATGACCGATTAATACGTTGCAATATAGGGAAAAAGAATAATAAATCCATTGCCCTTGACGATCACGTCGAATTCGTTTCAACGAATAATTTCAAGAACTCTTACAGTTGAACCATATTATTAACCATATTATCGAATACCATAGTTGAACCATTTACCTAACTCCGACCTCTGCTCATTAGTTTAAAGGGGTCGTTCAACCTTAATGGTCGATTGTGCAACTGGCTGTTACTGTAGCATAAATAGAATCAATTATATTTATCATCTAATTATTACAATTTTATAGAGCTGTGATATATCTATCTCTTCCAAAACCTTTTAGGTGTTATTCAATTTTCTTAAACTTCTCTGTGAATTAACAAGTTGTAGGTTGGATTATAAATTTTGAAAAAAGCACGTTATTAATGGACAGTTCCCATAAACAACAAAAAGATTTTTTTAATGAATATTTAACTTAAAATAGGTTTTTATTACTATATTTGATAGATTTTTGCAGAGATGGATAAATGTTTTGCTTATTGAAACTTGGTATATAAATAGCCATTGTAAAATATTACAAGCAATAAGTTTAGGTAATGTATTTTTTGTTAAAGAACTAATATTCGTATATAAGTATTGTTTTATTAAGTTCACTTGATGTATAGTATCATTTCTTGATACTTTCAAAATGGCATTTCGTTGTGACGTATATGTTCAGTCATCGTCATTTTTGTTAATATCATGTTAATTAGTTGTGTAAATATATATTTTAATAATAATATTATCTTTTTATTTATTATAAAATGTACAATTCAATTACAATTGTACAAATATAGTGGCTGGTTTACACGTGATAAGTAGATAAATAGAAAGTAAATTTTTAATTTTATGTGTGCACAAATAAGTCATTTATTAAAATTTTGTCAACTACTTATGAGCTTAATTAGAATTAAAATTGAACTTTTTACTGATTTGTGTGTTTGCAGGTACTTTATAACTTATTTACTTAATTACATGTAAACCAGCCATAAGCCTAAGACAAATATGCAAGTCTCTCGTCCAGGGACTTAGAAAGTATCATAATGTACCTACTCGTGATTTTATATTTATTATAAAATCAGATAAGTATATTACTTACTAATAATACAGCAAAATAGGGATGATGACTGGGTAAAAAAAATGCAATTCTATTTAGTCCGTCAGTCAGATAATAGAAAAATATTAGATACGTATTTTTTTTTACTTCAATTTAACAAGAAATAGCTTAGATAGACAGGCATTAAAGGTGAGGAGTGGGTGCTCGCTACGTCACAGTTGAGTAGAAAACGTACTCTAACGTGACGTCATGCGAAATTTCAACTCAATTTCAACGCCGTAATTTTATGATTACGAAAAAAATAAAAAATACGTGTTCAATATTTATTAACACTCTACATGACGGACAAACAAACAAAAATTTGTCATCATCCCTATTAGGTGGTCGTTTTAAATCCAAAATAAAATTTATCATTTACTGAAATAAAAAGACTGTGGTGGAAATGAAACAAATAAATTATATTAATGCATTTTATGCTTTAATTACTAAGCGTCCGGTCTCGACGACTAGACAAATAGTCCGTCCATCTGCCACGCTATTGTCATTCCTCTTAAAACTCACTCCATGCATACGTCACAAAAAACAACATGCTAACAAATTAGGCTTCCTAATATATCACAATTGGCACCTATCGAGGTCTAACAATAATTTAAAAACATTACATATAATATTCGCATTGAAATAATAAATTACGATAGCTGTCCTCTTAACGCAAAAGCGATTAAATCGATACACACAATAAAAAAAAATCACCACACTCCTCAAAACACTTTTCTCAGTATATTCTTTATGCTTTTCTTCTTTTTTCCACCGCTGCTTTCGTTATCTTGCGGCCCGTTTTGCGATAGTTCCGTGGATTCCGACCACAGACTGCCCGTAGGAGATTCCGATGCCGCTTTCTTACTGACTCTTCCGTTGAAAATAGGCTCTAAGTTCTTGACGACCGGGCTCGGAGTACTCCTAGTGCTCTGCCTGCTCAACGTACGTAGGAAAGCAGGGGACGAGAGCCGTCTCGTCTTCATCGTCTTGGTCTTCAAATTGTTGAAAAAGGAACCGTTGCTTTTAGGGAATTCTTTTTTTGATGGGATCGCGTCTCCAGTATTGTTAAATTCTTTTGGCTCCGATACGGGCGCGATGAATTCCTCCTCATCTAAAAGTATCGGGTTCTCTTGCAACTTTCCGATGCTGTCTTGTCGTCTCCAATTGATGGGTAAGGGATCAGTCTCGGCGTTTCTGTGAACTATAGATGTTTTCCTTCGCCTGTTCTTTTTGGCCTGTTGCCATTCACCCTCATCCTCGTCCTTGCTCATCTCTTCAGCGGACTGGCGCGCTATCTGTAATGCCTCTTCGCTTGGACGTCGCTTTTTTGCCGACGGAGTCTCGTGCCCACTGACTCCTTCAACAGACTTTCTCCTGAACTTCTCTTGCTTCTTCTTTGATTTCTTTGACACCGCTGTCACTATGCGATCTCTCCTACGTGTTCTTGTGATGTAATAGAATACGACACCGACTATTAAAAGTTGGAAAGTGACAAACTTGAAGAAGGTCATGTTTCCGAACCAACTGTCCCTTTCTTCCATGAGCAGTTTCATTGCTTCACCCACTTGGCTGAGCTGTTCTTGCAAACTAGTCATTTGATCCATGTACCTTTGTTCCCTCTCGTTGCTTTTACGGCGCTCTTCTGTCATCTGCTGTATGGTTTTCTCAAATGTTTTTTGCATCTCTTCCACTTGCTTCTTATAGCGTCTGCTTAATTCTTCCAGGTATTGCGCCGAAAGTGACATGTTGCGTTCTAGCGTCTGAAATAGTAAACGGTAAAATTATTCAAATGTAATGTGAACGGTAAAGTTATATTCCAATAAAATTTTAAATAAATAGTATTATTTGAAATTGCAAAACGAGCTTTTATATGCGATTGGCTAAGACAAGAAAATATAATAAATTAAGGTGAAGTGATAAAGTTTCTCTGTCAATTAGACCAAAATGACATAAATTTCAGATTTCATCGGTTTCAAGTAGATAGCATGCCTCTTAGCTTTCTCTCGTTAATCATGATTAATAAGATGCTTAATTATATCTATTTTACAACTAAACCTTACTGCCATTAAATTTTATTAGGAACAAGTATAACAACACCCACAGAGACGTAAAAAATATTTCAATTTGCTGCTACGTTTATTAAATATAATGTGATATCATAAATTAAAAATAGACTTGAATGAAGAGTAATTACAAAAAGATCATTTATTTTCTTTTATTGAAAATTAAGGTTTACCTTAATGGAGTGAAATTGTGTTTCTAAACAAGTAAGCGGATAGTAGCCTTTTTTCCATGTCTCAGACAATAAATTATATTTTTTACTTTCAATAAATAATATGGGTAGTGCAACACTCACCTTTACTCTATTTGACAGTCTCAGAAAAACAGACTCCTTTTGTAGTGTCGCTTGCGCTGCATTTTGGTTCTGTGTTGGCGGTGTTCCCGGCGGAATAGGGTCTACCGCCATTTGATCCAATTCAGACATGAAATTATCACTGTCGATAATTATCTGATCGTTTATTTCATCCACCCCATTCCCGGTAGCATCTTTAGGTTTCTCTGTTGTTGGATCTGGCTTGACAATCTTGTTATCAGTTTTTGAAGTATCTTTATTTTCTATTTCTGGGGTGATTTCAGTTGTTTTATCTGTTTCTTGCGTTATGGGTTCCGTTTGCTCTTCTTGGGACTTCTCCTCTACTGCCAGAGTTGCTTCCTCTTTATTTTCATCAAGTTTAACCTTCTCCTCTTTAGTGGGTTCTTGTGCGCTATTATCCTTATCAATGATTTGTTCAACTGCACTGGTTTTAACATTTGATTCTAAAGTTTCATTAACAATATCATTAGTCGAAATATTTTTCTCGTTTGACACCAATTTAATCTCTCGCTCCGAGGTATTTACGCTATTAAGTTTTGGTGGCGATTCATCGATTGTTATGTTAGTGGTAACATTTGATTCTGTTTCATCACTGGTGTTTAAAACGACCTTCTTTTCTTTTATAGCTAAAATATTACATAAGGCAGCTAAGTATTTTTGGGGAAATAAAGCGTTTATGTAAGCCATTCGCTCTTCGCTAAAGTCAATTGTCTTTGTACTTTTGAAATTCAAACCGAACGGCTGACAGATCCCTGTGCACTTTAAAGTCTCTCGCAGGAAAACCTGGCGTACTAAACTTACTAATTTGTCTGAACTACAACTAATCAATTCATACACATCATTATAAAGCGATTCACTGCAATTATCACAAACAATAATATGGCTGGGAGAGCAACACCGTTTGTACGTATTGTTTATAGTCGTTTGGTTGTGTTCGTTTGACACATTTTTAGGAACTTCTGATTTAACTAAAGCTTGTGCTGCTTTCTTCATAATCGACATGACGGCATCTCTTGCTGATCCAAAAAGATTCTTTGATGGTTCCGACTCTGCGGCAGGGATGTCAGGAATGTCTATTATTTCATCGTCCTCATCCTCATCAATATGAGCGGAATGGGAGTTTTCCTTTTCCAAAACTTCAAATTCAGATGTACCGTACACTTTGAACAGCGATATAGGGCAATAATGTTCGGATCCATGGTGAGACAACATTTCAACTTTAATAAATTTTCCGAACAAATGTGGAAACAAATCAAAACTTTGAACATCTCTTATTTCTTTGGCTGTAAACTGACCGACGCTGGTCCATTCCCGTGTTGGGAATCGATCGCTGAAATACACGGCGATGTCTTTGGGTATCGAGGAGAACAACTCGAAATTTGCGATTTCAATTTTCTGAGCTTGAACAGCCTCGCACAGTTCTACGACGAACCAAATGCGACTGTTGCAAGTATTAAGCATGTACTCGTCTCTGTTCGGAGACAGTATAGAGCTGGCTGAACCTGCTTCAGGGTTTACGGCAACTACTTTGGCGCCGCATGCTAGTGAGGCATAATTCTTGGATCGCAATTTTGTATTTTTACTACTAAAGTTTGTATTACTATGACTAGGTTGACTGGAGTGGTTTAGCACGGTGTCCTTTTTCTCTGCCTCAGCTAGCTGCTTCTGTGCCCACTCTGAGAAGGAAGGTATATCTTCTTGGGGAGTTTGCGGTTCGACTGGAATGTTTTCTATTACTGGTTCCTTGTGTTCTTCTACCTGAGATTCTTTAGTATCCTCTATAGTCGGGGTAGTGGTTTGAAATGCATCATTGATTAGTCTCACTTCATGCATAGGCTTTGCTTTGACAACTAGTCGTGGTTCAGTGGATTCCTTTTCGACTTCATTTTTTGCCGCTTTACTATCTCGATCTGAATCTTCACTGTCTATGATAGTGAATGCTGTTGTGTCGTTATGTTTTTCAGACTCGTTCATAAACAAAAGTTCGTCCGGATTCTTTAATTCCAATTTGGCAGTATCTGCTAGCGTAATAAGTACGGGAGGCTGTCCAGTGTCAGGTAACCTGTAACAATACGAAAGTGGGCGTCAATAAATTTCTTATCAATTGTAACAATAAACAAACACGTTCCAACAGTTTTAGTAATTATGACTTTAAATGCATAATATGATTTAAGGACAAAACAACTGAGAACTAAGTTATTACGGACTAATGGGTATAGTAAGTTTATAACTTAAGTTTAAATAGGATACAGCAAAGATCATAATTATACAATAATTTTTACTGTGGAATTTAATCGCTTGACCCTTCATATCAAATTCCAAGTTATGTAGAATAAAGGCATCGATAGGATAAAGTATGTTTTTTTTTTTTAATTTGCGTAGACTATTGAAACGATATGCAACGATAAATACCATACACATTTACATCCCATAAACTAACAGCAAAAATAAATTATCAATATTTTGTATGAATACTCAATCTTTTTCGATTTTCAGAGTTCACTTTTATCGGTCAACAGCACGTCAGGTTATATATACTAGTTGTCAAATTTCTCCACGTTTTTAAACCTTTAAATATTAGGGGTGGAGTACAAAATCATTTGCAGAAATATGACATTGCGATTACCTAACATGCAGCGTGCGTACATCGAGCCTTTTCCAGTGCTATTAATAAACAAGGTAAATCAGAGTAAATTTACGATAAAATTTCAATTTTAGTATTATACCAAATTCATATTATACAGACAATAAGCAAACCTACTACCTTCTAGAAGTAAACCTTACTCCCGTAGAACCACGTATGTATATCCCGTAGAACGTCGTACTAGGTTAACCTTTGCTAAGTCTCTGTTTAATAATATAAACTTTGACTAATGCTAAATGCAGTCTCAGCGCTAATTTACTCCAACGCTAAACCTTGTTTATTATTTACACTGTCTGTCTGCATCGTTACGCCAAATACGTTGCGGAGTAGACAAATGTAGGAGAGAACCAAGCGCCACAGAGGACAGTCTTTAAGTTAAACGCAAACCAATCAGAAAAGAGGATTTCGATTTTTTTTTTGTATGAAAACATAACAACATCAGCACACTAATAATAGCCGAATTATCAGAGTTCTACTGCGAAGTTTTGTTGTCAGCCTTACATACACCTTTCGCTTTCTTGGATAGCAATAATTCTTATATAATTATTAACGTTTTGATCGTTGGCAAAAATTTAACATATTTCTATCTTGCCATGGACTACTTCGGTGATTAAACATATTTAAACAAATGGTTTTCCTTTGTATCTTTACATAAAACATTTCAATTCTCCCGGAAAGGAATCACATAACACTAATTCTCTTTACAACTACATACTCTTTACTTCTCATAATGGCGTTCTCGGGATACTTCTGGAGACCACCTGTTAAAACTACTCCTCCAACAGCATCATCTAAAATGATCTTTACATTCGTTCTGGCATCCTCTCGACACCCATAAGTCTTACGTGTAAAATATCTTGGTGAGTCCTTGGTGGCCACCGTACGACAGCAGTTGGCATATGAGTAGCGCCGCAAGCAGCGCCCGCGGCGGCGACATGTTGCACGCGCCGCCGCCGCATTGGCGAAGCCCCGCAACACCTATCACGACACGACAACCGACCACGGGCACCACAACAAGCGCGCTATATCACTCGCACTCGCTCGCACATTGAGTACGGACACAACTTCTTATTCCAAACTTTACAGACTCTTTCAAGTTTAAGAAAAAAAAATATTATGCCGATGACGTATCCGAACGCACTAATTGACGTGATGATATTTTCGCGCGCAAACTATTTAAAGTCAATGTCAGAGCCACTTTTGAAATTGTATCTGTAGTTCTTCGAACTGTGTCGTAGTCACACTATATATTATTACGTAAGTACCACCTGTTGAAAACACAACAGTTTAAATACATCTAATGTCACTAATAGTGCAGTTCTCACGAGAAATATGAAGCTTAACATTGTCAAATGTTTATTATCGAGATAAGTTGATATTAGGTACATAGCAACTGTGATAAACTCGATCATAATATGCATTAGAGTTGAAAATATAATTTTAAAATTCCTAATTAGTACAACTTCGGATTCTTATCACTGAATGCTGTTAAAATTACGCAGAGGTTATCAATATTAGGTCAAAAATACTTCCCCGCTCAATGTCTCTCTTTAGTTTCATTAAAATAAATGATAGATACCTACTTTCATGAATAACCTATGACAGACTACTATTAAATTTGATAGTTCCAGCACTCCAGCTGTGATACGTTAACAAGTGGCTGTTGGCGACTGTAGGTTATCAACCCACTTTCCTATATAATTTTTCATTATGTCAAAACTTTCATAGTTCCTTCACGCTGAGAGGTTTCCCATAATGTGCCAGTTCAATAACACTCGACGGTTACAGATTGCGCTAAACAAATACGCCATACAATAGTCTTGTATTACCGAGTACAATTTTAGATACGCAACCACTTAAAAAGTAATAAACATCAATTGTTTCAAACGGTTGGAGCGCAGAATATGTCCTATCAAATTAATGTAGGTACTGATCATTCAATTATTTTAAGCAGCAAATAAAATAAATAATACGTGCGTGTATATGATAATGGGGTTAATTCTCGTTGAGATTAAAGATGTCTTGGAAATATTTACAAACAATGATATACATATTAAACCTCTTTTATATATAATTATAATATATAACTACTATTATAATACTATTATACTACTATTATACTATTATAATATAATAGAGTAGCTCGGTGGCGTAGTGGATAAGCGCCGCGGCCCGCGATCGTAGTCGTTAAGCAACTTTCGCAAGGGTCGGTCACGGGATGGGTGACCAAAATATTATTATCTCGAGCTACTCCGTGCTTCGGAAGGCACGTTAAGCCGTTGGTCCCGGCTGCATTTGCAGTCGTTAATACCCTCCAATCCGCATTGGGCCAGCGTGGAGGGTCATGGCCCATCCTCCTTAACCATCCATAAGGAAGGCCTGAGCCCCTGGAGTGGGGACGTAAAAGGGCTGGTGATGATATATAATTGCTTACAAACGAGTACTAACACTAACTGACTCGCCGAGAAAGTGAAATAAGTGTAGGTATATTTGATAGTAACACCAATTGTAAATGGGATGTCCTATTAGATTGACAAAGTAATTTTAGACAGGGCTTGCACACATTAATTAAAGTGGAAACAGTCTTGGAAAACAGGGCGCAATAACGTGATTGAAATATAACTAATTCTTTTTACGACAATAAAAAACTTAACTCGCAGTAAAATTCGTGAGTGGTACTTTATAAAGCAAAAATTGCAAAAGCGCCGAGTTGGATTTAAAAACTTATGAACTTATCAAGGCTTAAAAACCAAGAATGCTGCTCAAAATCTGTCAAGGGAAAACAGAGGGTTGGAAAATCTTCTAAACTTTTGCCAAAAATGTTTGTAAAATTCAATTTATAGGATATAGATATAATACGTAAATGTCAGCCGCAGAACAGGGAAATCCCTAATACAAAAGGACAGGTAAGAAAAACAGGACGCTGCGTCAATGACGTCATTAAACAAAAAATATGAATATTTGTTCAATTATGAGCTTTCCAAACACATATTATTATTAAACAAAAATATTTAGAGCGTTACATAACAAACGCAGTTGCTGAACGTTTAATTTACTAAATAAGTGCTAATTTATGTGTGGTAATGAATATTCACGCATATTCAACGACCACATCACCACATAATATATTACTACCATCACCTTCCCACCAACATCTGCTACTATTTTGATACAAAAAAAAAATACCATTCAAGACTATCCACAAACAGTCGATACGCAGCAACTCTTCTAAATATGTCTAACTCAAAGGTGACTGACATAGTGATCTATCAACGCAAACAGCCCAAACCACTGGACGGATCGGGCTGAAATTTGACATGTAGGTAGATGTTATGACGTAGGCATCCGCCAAGAAAGGATTTTGATCAATTCTACCCCCCAAGGTGATAAAATAGGGGATGAAAGTTTGTATGAGACTTTGTCAATTTTAAACCGATCGGGCTGAGACTTGTTTAAGATTTTGCTAACTTTTTTAAGTTTTATATAAAACTACGGTATCATTTTAAAAATCTAAAAAATAATAATGGCGTCTGATATAATGCTACATGGAAATAACAACCGTTCGTAGGTTCTGCGTGACACAGAGTATTCTCTTTACTTTCCCTTATCCCTTTATCTAGGACCACAGACCGCTTTCAGCGGCTCCTACAAACATTAAAAATACTAAAGGCAATATCAGAAAATATTGCAAATGACCGAAACCAATTTTAGAATGATTGACGTATATGTATTATTCATCAATCAACAATATTAAGTATTGTTATCTCTATACGTAGTAGCTGTTACGTTAGCACGCGCTGTGAATCAATCTCACTGCTTACGTCCTTGCTGTTATCGTCTGACACATAAATAGGTGTCATATCACATTATAGAATTTACGAGTTATCGATTTATATATGTTATACACTAGATTCGACAATCCTACGTACCACACCTCTAGATATACTAATATGTAAACGTGAAACTGACAAAATTATTGTATTTGCATCCGGGTGTTTTATAAATTATTCAAGGACAAACAAATTATAAGCTTACTATCAATATTATCTGGTGATAGGAACATTTTTTACACTTACTATTTATTTACGCATCCATTTTAATAGACTGACGTCACATCTACGACGTCATATAATATCCTTGCTTATAGAATAAACCTTTTTATACTGATTCTTTCAGATTATAAATAGATATCTATTTTAATCAAGTACATGCAAAGTCCTGTGGTAATATTTTATTTTCCATTATTTTATTCTATACCGATTCAAAAAGTAGTTACTATTAAAATGCGTTAGAACAACGTCGCAATGAATTCGTTGACCTTGAATCCGAGTAAAATCAATATGGATCACAGAGTTTAAGTGCTTTCAGAAGTTAGTAGTGCATTGCTCTGAGCGATTGTTGTGAACTATAAAAGTAATGTGTCAAGATAGTGAAATCATCCCGTACATCTAATTACAGTTTCAGCGAATCCAATTAGAGATATCGTGAAAAAGGTACAGTGACAAAAAAAAACATTAAAAAATGAAAAAGTTTTTAAGCTAACTCACTAAAGTTTGTAAATAAACGTGGCCTTTTAAAGATTTGTTTGTGGATCGAGAAATATCGCTTAGAGTATATACAACAATTTTTAATTACACCAGTGTTTCTATCAGAATAAAGTTGTAATCGAGTTATATTGTTGCAATTAAAGTAAAAACTAATTCATAAAACAGTTTATCGGTGTGAATTTGAAAGCGGTTTGCAGAATCGCAGTGAAAATGTTTCGCATTTAGATCGAATGGTAATAGTTGCATACTATTGGATTCCTCTCGCGCCACACTTTCCTCGTATCACTGTTAACTAAAGTAAATCTAAACGTACAGAGAAACTGAAAATCACCTCGCAAATGTTATATCGATGGAGTCTCGTCAATCACCAAGATCGAAGCAGTAAATCTCCGAGTTCCATCACTAATAGTGATATTATTACCAAAATATATATTATATTAACAAATATTTTACTTTCTATGGACAAGAAAAAAAACAATTTAATGCTGCAAAAGGATTGTTGACAATTGGCAGCGTTCGGTAACAAGGATCTTCTCATCTTTATCGAAAGTCTCAATTTTTGTAATAATATTTTTTTCTGCTGTTTGGGTGGATGCCTGAACAATGATAATACGCTCTGTAGTAGTAGCGAAAAGTAACAAGTGCTTGAAAGATTCATCAGTCCTGTTAGGTCCTGGGTAGCTCAGTGGTTAAAGCAGTCGCCCGGGTTGCGAAAGGTCGTGGGTTCGAATCCCATCTCAGGGTGCCAGGGACCAAGTGGATTTTTTAAGCATTTTGTATTAAGAATAACTTTACGTATTTTATTGTTTAGATATAAGAAACAAGACTCACAATAATATTTAATTTATTCAATTATTACTTTTAGAACGTAGGGATAATTTGTTCGAGATAAATATTTATTGAGATTCGAAAGAAATCCGTGTTTGCGGCACGTGACATGTTGACCTCGCGCGTCCGATTTCAAATTAGAAAAATCAACCGACACTTGTCACGTCAAACTGCGCACGCGCTTGAAAATAATCAGCGATATTTTCAAGTAAATACTGCAAAAAAAAACAGCACTACGTTATCTAACTAAGGTGGAGTGGAGACATGCGTTTTGAAAGTCGATACGACACGCCCAAACTTGATACGTTAAGTAATCTATGGTACTGTTCAGTTATAAGGAAACATGATTTAGTTCCCGAGATTGAAGTTGCAACTGATAGACAATAGGAAAAATTGAAAGAATGGAAAGCCGCACTATCAAATATTAACAGCGAAAGGAACAAAAATGTATCTACTTAAGATTTTTTTTTAAATTAGCAATTAGGTTATAGAAGGTGGGAGGGTGTGGTTTAAAAATTCCTGAATCTTGTGTGACTTAATTTATGGACGGCCCCTTAGTTGAATTTTTATAAATGTGTTCTGTGAAAAGAGCAAACATGTCGCTATATGACTTCTCGCATATTAATGATGGGTTCTTCTTCAAAGATATTGGAAGTTTTATTTTAGCAACAATATAAAAAGTGAAATGTAAAATATACATAATTCAAATGCATATAAGATTTATGATAGTACCTAACATTGGCTGAGCATGTTATCAAAATTTAATTTTCCTTATTTGATCATCTATTTACGTCTGATGACGTTTACGTTATAACGATAAAGATGTTCGATCAATTTGTAAAATGCTTTGAGCGACTTCATAATTAAACAAGACTGTAGTCTCAAAAGTCCACTTTCCACAAAGACCAATAAAGGTCTCCGCCAGTCTATCATTACGTCTCGAAGAATAATAGCGAGACAATTGATAATAAACTGCTTAGCAGGGGACCGACTTGCTTTCCCCCCACTGACCGGTGCCGGTGCAACGGCCGCGGGGGCGGGCCTGTTCCATACACTGGGTTAGTTCCGCAAGGTTGTCTGCTAACACTAAGACAATAAAAGGACTAGAGAAAAAGAACTGGAATGTACAAGAAGTTAGAAATTATAAAAGCCTGCTACTGAGTCGGGTGCAGTGTAGGGCCAGGCCAGAGATGTTGGCGGGGCTTATAATTAAAAAAAAAACACTAAGACAATATGCATACTTGATTGGTGTGTTACTGAATTTTCATGCAGATATA